TATAAGGATGTATACCGAAACGTCGCTTTTCACAGTATTAAAGAAGTTGTTATCAATAAAATTGTGTCTACCTTGTAATCCCAGGATTGTCTGGGCCAGACTCGATTATTAACAGACTGGCGTCATATAGCTGGAATATTGCTGAGTGCGGCATAAACAACAAACAAACAAACAAACCCTTCACTTGCTCATTCTTGCACAGGCTCCTCACAGGGTGAAGGAAGGGTTACGTGGTGCAAAGAGCTTAAAGAGAGGACATAGATTATCTAAAGTCAAAAACACGAATAAGTGTTGAAGTCATCCAGTCTGAAGTGTTATGAAAAACTAGAGGGGCCATTTTGTGTTCATCATCTGCATGACAGCATCTAGAGGAGCTTCTTGGGAGGTTGGGGAAGGGTTCGTACATCAGGGGGTTGTTTTTTTATGTGTAAAAAATGAAGAAATGTTGATAAAAAGAATATTAGTGAAAGTCTGTGCAGTTGATATGTAATAAATGATTCCAAGGTGTAGAAAATCCGAAAAAGAAGAGAATCGACTTGGCAGTGGCGGCCATTTGTTGTTTTTCTTTACTCCAGTGGTTTAAGTCTGCCTGCTATTGTGTTAATTTTCATGAGCAAAACATTTTTTGAATATTTTATATGTCTGGTACAAACCAAGAACTGAAGCAAATGGTGTTTTGAAATTTGTCAGCCGTATACCACAGGGAACAGCCGTATACCACAGGGAGCAGCTGTAATAGCACAGGGAACAGCCATATACCACAGGGAACAGCTGTAATAGTACAGGGAGCAGTTGTAATAGCACAGGGAACAGCCGTATACCACAGGGAGCAGCTGTAATAGCACAGGGAACAGCCGTATACCACAGGGAACAGCTGTAATAGCACAGGGAACAAGTGGCTCACTTAAACTCATCACTGACATGAATGTCAAAACAACATCATTGTTGACAAACTTGTGAAAGTGTTGGTGTCCTTGACCTCTGTGACCTTGGCCTAAAACAATGCTGTGTCCCCTCATGTTTTTTTGCATGTTGTTTAACGCCACACTCAGCAATATTTCACTCTATGACATCGGTCTGTAACTTATCAAGTCTGAACCAAACAATCCAGTGATTGACATCATGAGCATCGATCTACACAATTGTGATATGACATGCATCAACCAAATAAGCGATTCTGACCACCTGCTCCCGTTAGTCGCCTCTCACAACACTAATGGGTTGCTGAAGACCCGGAATTTCACGGGTTATGTCACGCGGTTACTGGAGTGTTTATGTTATTGTTAAGATTGTATCTGGTCTCCTTTAAAAGAGATACCTTAATTCCAATCAAATTACTTGAAGGGAGGAATTGTTCACTTGTTATGCCTGAAGAACTGAAGTTTAATTCCTACATAAAACCTCACTCACTCACTCACTCACTCACTCACTCACTCACCTCACTTGCTGACTTGGTTGATGCAATAATTTGTCATTGTATCCCAAATACACAGATCAATGCTCATGATGTCAATCACTGGATTGTCTGGTCCATACTTGACTCAGACTATAGTGGAATATTGCTGAGTGTGGTGTTAAACAACAAACAAACAAACAAACATACAAAAACTTAACAATGATGGCATTAACACCTGTCATGTTTGAGGTCTACATATAAATAAAGAAATACCTTTTAAACAAGAAATTACATTGGTCTGGCCAAAACATTCCACTGGCATTAACCATGCACTGTTTCAGTGAAATGCCCAAGACATCATATTCTCTAAGTTTTAGAATGTTACTGAGATGTCAGCACTCGTCTGATACTAGTTCAGCTTTCACTTTCTCAATGTAAGGGGTCAAAAGTTACAAAAGACAATGTAACTGTGTCAAGATATATGATGTGAGAAATTGAATGAAACCATATTGTAAGTTTGACATTTTGAAGTCACTCTGCAAGACTGAAAGGTCAAGGTTTGGTGTAAAGCCATCCATTACTCTTGCATGAGCATAGCATGACCCTGTCGTGTTGCTGAATGGGTGAGTGAGTGAGTGAGTTAATATTTAAAGTTACATAGGCAGTATCTCAGCCATATCGTGACTTTCAAATGTTAGACATAATATATGCATTCAAACAATAAAAGTCTGTCAACACAGGACAGTAAAATAACTAGCATATCACAGATTAATAGTCAAAACTAGTATATAACCATAAAAAAGATATCACTATGTATAACAACACGATATAAAAAGGGCTATAGATCACGATCAACTGAAGGTAGATCACCATACTGGGGACCATGGGGACTTACAAACCTACATGGACCCCAGCAGGATTTACATTATTCCTTCAATTGCTGGCGATTGTACGCAATTTTAGCCACTGTTAAAATTACAAATATACTACGTTTAAAAGAGTAGTAGACATAAATATTCTTTGAACGATATGGACTTCCTGTCAGGGGTTGTGTTGCTGCGTTCCAGCATACTTGTGTTAATACACAATGAACCTGGTGATTGAGGATTAGCTGGCCAGTGTGTATTGTATGTGGATATGCCAAATCTATTTCCCAGTCTAATAATTTGTATCTTTAGTCAATAATTCCATATTCTTTCAAGTCCTGCCCTGAAACATAAATACGTTGATGACATCCAACTGGGCCAAGATGGCTGACAGGCTATGATATTGTATCAGCATCGGATGACACATGACAAATTACCTCCCTTTCATTAACAGTGTCGTCAGATAGTGGGCACTACGGACACCCACAGACAGGTAGCAGAGGTGAGATATCCTACTCCTACATGATGAAACTCCCCCACGAGGTGACGCACCCGGCCTCCACAGCATCACCCTCGCAATCAGTCAATCATGAAAAACACCCTGTCTGAAGACCTAATTGGTTTTTTCAAGAAGGGATTAAATATCATCAATCTAGGACTGCCCCCTAAGGAGGTGGTTGAGAGCCAGTTAAATGTACTTAGAAGCCTCACAGAACCACATTATATCGATAGGGATTTCTTCACCGGCTACTGAGTCGACCATAATGGCCGATCAGTTAGCTTATCCCTGTTGGAAGCACACATAAATTTTTCGTAATGGAGTATTAGACAGTTTATTAAAAACTAGCCAGGATTGGGGAGTCGTCCAGGTAGGGGGCTGTTGGGGAGTCGTCCGTCGTGGCCAGGTCGTTACTGTTAATTTGAAGAGGAATTAGTCAGGAACAAGCTATAAAATACTGATGGCCAATAGAAGGATGGTAATCACCCACACTTATCTGCCGACAGATATTAAAGGGTTTTACCACTCATCCTCGTCACTTGGTTTTCTTTCATCAAGGCAGCTGCATCATTAGCTTGAATTGATTGTAGGGTGTTTTGATCTACCAGCAAAAGATTTACGATTGAATGTGATGTTAACTTTATGGTCTGGACGGAAGGGATATGAAGGTGCCTGCTTCAACCGTCCGCCGCCATCTTAAATGTTGAGAATGTTACGCATCAGTTTAATAGTCATTGTTTATGTCTAGTTTCGGATCCTTGTGTTTCGGGGAGATGATATAGGAAAATCTGAGTTTAAACAGAATCAGAGTCCACGTGTAGGAATGATAACAGTATGTAACAACGAAGGTTGAAGGTTTTGTGGGAAATATTGTTCATGTCCGGAGTTTTGAATGCCAGTATTGAAGTAGTACATGGTGTTAAATCCAGCTGTCTCACCGATCCACTCACTCACTCACTCACTCACTCACTCACTCACTCACTCAGATTGGCAGCTTCTCCTTGTCAGTAACAAGTCAGAGTGAGGATGATGATTAATCAATGTAAAACCATTTTCACACAAGTATTACATCATGTTATTTGGTACTTCACCGTGAAGAACTTCCAGCTGCATATAAATTATGCTGTTCCAAAGTTCATTTTAACAATTGTGCATTGATGATTTAATCTTAACAATTTAAAATGTTTATTGTTTATCAGAAATGATTATGTAAGAGCAACAGTAATACAAGCCATATTGTACACTCTCAAGTTGAACAGGAAGTTCAAAATAAACTGATCTGTACCCCATTCAAAAAAGCAATCTTAACGCTACGATTGTTGTGAGTCTATGTTAAAGTATGGGAGGTATGATCATCTTAGCGCTAAGATCACTTTGTGGAAAAAGGGCCCAGGGCATATTCCTGAACACCATGGATATATCCAGGAGGTGTGGAATATAGATGTGGAGTAAAGGTACAGAGTAAAGTTGCAGAATAAAGATGGGGAATAAAGGCGTGAAATAAAGGTGTTGATGCTTGTCTTCTATCATTATCAGAGCAGTTGTGAGAACATGAGGAGGTTCTTTCACCAGTCCTGAACACCCTAAAACTCATTAGCCTAGGGAATAACTGAAGCATTGACTTGTTTGTCCTGGGTTTAACTCCTAAAATGGTTCAATATGTGAAGCCTCTTCTTTTGGTTCCCCAATCTCATTAAAATCAGGTCTTAGTTCTTGCTACCGCTAAACAAAGATCTGAGGACATCCCATTACGGGTCACGTCATACTGACCTTGGCCAAACTTTGACAGATCAATGGAATGACCAATCAGAACGCAGCTTTCTCGTGCTTTACGGCACAAATTTCAAACTGGCGACTATGCTTCGAAACATATTTTGACAAATTCTCGATTACAAATTTGAAAGCTGAACAAAAAAAACATTCTGGAATGGCTAATCGATGGCCTAGATTGTAAAGATTCAGTCGTTAAATCCGTAACTATCGTTCGGAATACCCCATGTTAAAGTTTTCAAGATTGCATGAAAAGAAATTACATTCCGACTGTCACTTTCATAATCTGGTAAGCGACGCACTGATTGGTCTGATGAAAGGTCGTTCTGACGTGACCCTTAATGGGATGTCTTCAGATCTTTGTTTAGCGGTAGCGAGAACTAAGCTCTGATTTTAATGAGATTGTTGGTTTCCCAAACTGGAATGGTTGAAAACTCACTCACTGACCCAACTCATGTTGTGTTTGTAGGGTCAGGATGTATAGATGGAAGTGGTGAAGGACTGCGACGACACAAGCGGGTGTCTGCATGTATGGGGCGCTGGAACGGCCACATCCAGAACAGCAGCTCGTTGTGTGCGCCCGGCTGGAGGGTGTGTTCCTGGTATGATGGGGACATCCTCAGGAACATTTCGTGGAGGGACGCCATGTCAGTGGGCGGGTGTTACGCCTTCAATGCAGCACAAGATGGGGGGAGGTGCAGAGAGTGCAGAGATGACCTGGAGCAGGTGAGTCAGATGGTGGAACAAAGGTGTGGAGTAAAGGTGTGGAAGAAAAGTGAGGAATAAAGGTGTGGAACAAAAGTGAGGAATAAAGGTGTGAAATAAAGGTGTGGAATACAGGTGTGGAGTGAAGGTGTGGAATAAAGGTGTGGAGTAAAGGTGTTGAATAAAGATGCAGAATAAAGGTGTGGATTAAAGGTGAGGAATAAAGGTGTGAAATAAAGGTGTGGAGTAAAGGTGTGGAATAAAGGTGAGGAATAAAGGTGTGGAGTAAAGGTGTGGAGTAAAGGTGCAGAGTAAAGGTGTGGAGTAAAGGTGTGAAATAAAGGTGAGGAATAAAGGTGTGGAGTAAAGGTGTGGAGTAAAGGTGTGAAATAAAGGTGAGGAATAAAGGTGTGAAATAAAGGTGTGGAATACAGGTGTGGAGTGAAGGTGTGGAATAAAGATGCAGAATAAAGGTGTGGAGTAAAGGTGAGGAATAAAGGTGTGAAATAAGGTGTGGAATAAAGGTGAGGAATAAAGGTATGAAGTAAAGGTGTGAATTAAAGGTGTGGAATAAAGGTGAGGAATAAAGGTGTGAAATAAAGGTGTGGAGTAAAGGTGTGAAATAAAGGTGTGGAGTAAAGGTGTGAAATAAAGGTTTGGAATAAAGATGCAGAATAAAGGTGTGAAATAAAGGTGAGGAATAATGATGTGGAATAATCAAATTCTTAATAATTCCTTTGTCTTGGAACTTACATTGAAATAAGATTGTACTAACATTTCTAGTTTTTGTCAAACAAAATGCCAGCTGATCTTTTTCCGGGAGAAACTGGATTATATATCATGGTATTAAATATTTACTCCACTGGATGTTGTTAAAACTGATTCATGGAAATGTCAAAAATCATCCAATAAATCAGCAGAACTTAAAGAAAAAAACAAAAGAGGTCTTAATAAATTATTTACGCTAGGATGTTGTTTCACAAAAGTTTCTTCCAAATGACAAGCGCCATAGGCAGTCACGCTGAAAATCACCATTGGATAAACGATATGACCTCATTTGAAAATTGGCATCCGAGATTGGAAATCACTGGATAGTTGCCCTGTCTTTATGACTGAAAGAGAATTGGCTTAAGCCGGGATAAAACAGATGAAATTTGATATGTGAAGCAAGTAATTGAGAAATGTTAAGTATTCCTGGTTTGTAAACAATATGTTCCCATGTTTTATGTAGACCTGAGGGACTTTCAGACTTGGATAGCTTTATTACCTGAGGCAGTTAGCGATTTGGTTTGAATTATTTCCTGTTCTTTATAATAGAAAGACTTCAAAAAATAAATTTTGGAAGGAATAATAATTTTGTTTATTGTCCTTACAAGACAGGTGGACATCATGAAGTAAAGCTGTATTTAAAGCTATGTAATTGTGCCCCACCATGAGATTAGAAATCATATGGGTGAAAATTACATTTTCTTCTCAGTATATTTTAAAACTAGAGTATCTTAGGAACACTATAGTACAATTCACAAGCTTTGAAGTATGTGTTAGCTGCAGGAAGTTGGGATTTGTTAATGATTCTCGGTAATTTCCAGAACACCGACGTGATCCTGTATAGCCCATGTGGTCAGCGCACGGTGTTGTTTGCACCTGAGAGTGTTGGCTTACCTGTAACGAGTGTACAGGTGACAGGTTGACCAGGTGTTTGAGGTGGTCGGATCAACAGAATGTTTTGGATGCAATGTTGTTGAGTCTGGAACAGGCTGTGTGCATTAAGAAAAGGCCACAGCAGACCGATGTAGTGTTTGACTCTGACTTGTCCTGTTGGATGGCAATGAAACCAGATGCATGGATGTCTCCGATAACGCTTTAATGAGAATGGGTCTACGTTAATATTGGCATCATAATGCTCGTGTGAGCCTATATATAGATATAATTTCTGGTCATGAAGTTCCGTTGGTCGTCTTCGGTTGTATGGCTGGGGAAAAGGGGGTAACAATTAGTTCTCGTGTATAATACGCACCACCAAGTTTAGAGTAAAGAAATAGTGAAAAAAAGTGTGTACTATACACAAATAAATACGGTACACACTCACTTAGTGAGTGAGTGAGTGAATGTTGTTTTATGCTGAATCTGAATTTTTTTATTTATAGAGGAGGTGTGTATCAGGGTATTTTGTACAAACTTTTTAGAGCCAACAAAATACACATGATGGTGTCTAGATATGTCAGAGGGTTAGAAAAATGTCAATGTTTGACACTTCCTTGTTAACCATCATCCCTGTCTCTGTGGTGGTTGATGGGGTAGCCCAGTGTATAAGGTGTTGGCTCATAACGTCATACCAAACCACCCTCCCACCCACTCACTCACTCACTCACACTGTTTTATCCCCCCAGGATGACCTGGCAGGCATAGGACGAGGGTGTGCCCATCAGAACCTGGGTCAAACCTCATGCATCAGCGGCGGCCGCATCGATGCCAGCTGCTGCGTGGACGCCCACTTCCACCGCGCCTGTCAGTACCAGCCAGGCTTGGCTACCGGGATCCTCTGCTGCAAGATGCCAGGTACGCACAAGCATGCAGGAGTTACCTCCCTTCTTCACGGTTGTGTTTTGAGTTTCAACATGGAACATGAATAAATAGCAAGAGGTATTTCAATGGCTGACAAAAACATTTGTTTTCCATGAACCATAAAATAACTAATGGACCACTGTTTCCAGATCAGCCGATGATAGGGGGGAGCTCGTGTTGTATTATTGAGCTGAATGTCACAGATTTTGTACTTCAGTCTGCATTTTGTGTGTTTTAATGAGTTAATAAGCTCTCTGTAAAGATATAATTGTTGACATATTTATTTATAAGAATTGTTTTGCGGATTTACGGAAAGCATGCACAATGTTTTTGACATTTATACCTCCATTAAGGCAAAAAATATCAATTGTTAAATTAATTGAGAACTTATGTGCCAAAAAAAATTGAAAGGAGAAACTTAATGGTAAGAAAACGTATGAAAGGTGATTCTTTGTCTTTGAAGTGTTTTTATTTGTGTGTTCAGTAAAGCGTCCGAAGATTGCAGTGAAGCCCCCCGAGAAGATGTACGTGTACACGGGGCTTATCTTCCTGCTCACGTGTCAGGCGACCGGTATGCCTCCTCCCAGGGTGCAGTGGTACAAAGATGGCGTCCAGATGGCAAAGAACAACCAACGCATCTCTGTGCTGTCGTCAGGTGAGTTAACTACTTTATGTCACATCTAGAGGGGCCAGGGGTCACTACTGCTTTCTGTGCGGAGTTGTGTCCCTTAGCCACACCAGTATCTGCTTGTTGTAGGTTTGAATCCCATATGGTAATGATGCCTGGTCTGTGAGCACCACGCATTTTGTGTCAAGGTGGTCAATGTTTATTCTACCTGTGTCACTCTTGTTGATTCCCCCTTGTTATGCTGCCAGACTGTCATGGAATGAAAATACTGTTTGAAGAGGCATTAAAATCCTTAGTAACTTTTGTTAATGTAATCATGCATCCACAAATATAACATTTGTTACACTAAATAATGTAATTGTTTCATCTAGTTCGGTTCTTTTCGGGGATGGTGGTGGTAGTGGTCCCTTTGTTTTGGATGGTGATGATGATGATGATGATAACGGCGATCGATGATGATGATGATGATGATGATGATGATGGCATTAAATCATATAGTTGTTTCATCCAGTTCATTGAAGCCTATGTTTTGGGGGATGATGTCGGTGGTAGTGGTCCCTGTGTTTTGGGTGATGATGATTGATGATGATGATGATGATGATGATGATGATGATGTTCTCCTCAGGAGACCTGTTGGTGACACTGGCCAAGAAGTCTGACACTGGGCTGTACACCTGTGAGGTCATCAATGAGGAGGGCATCGACATGGCCAGCTCCTACGTGGTGGTGTCAGGTACGTGTGTACCAACGCAGGGGTGGCAGCTCCTGTGCTGCATAGACCCGTGAAGATACTGGGTAGAATAGGCCTTCAGCGACCCATGCTTGCCGTAAAAGGCGACTATGCTTGTCGTAAGTGGTGACTAAAGCGATTGGGTGGTCAGGCTCGCTGACTTGGTTGAAGCATGTCATCGATCCCAGTTGCGTGGATTGATGCTCATGATATCAATCACTGGATTTTCTGGTCCAGAGTCGATTATTTACAGACCGCCGTCATATAGCTGGAATATTGCTGAGTGTGGCGTTAAACAACAAACAAACCTAACCTGTGCTGCATTGGTTAAAACAAAGTTATTATCTTTTTAACATACTTTAGAAAGCTATTAAATGTGAAATGAATTTATTTCATATTCATAAGAAATCTAAAAAAATCTAAATAAGAAATCTAAATTTAAATCTGCTAAAAGCAGTCCACTGTACAATTCCAACTAGATCATAAGCATGTGTTTCGAAATCACTATCAAATAGTGATGACACCAGGTACTGGCAATAAGGTGAGCGTATCCTGCCCCACCGGTGGCATCTAGGGCTGGGACGGGTAACTTGGATACTTGGTCTACCCCACCGGTGGCATCTAGGGCTGGGACGGGTAACTTGGATACTTGGTCTACCCCACCGGTGGGATCTAGGGCTGGGACGGGTAACTTGGATACTCGGGTCTACCCCAGTGGTGTCATCTAGGGCTGGGACGGGTAACTTGGGTACTCGGGTCTGCCCCACCGGTGGCATCTAGGGCTGGGACGGGTAACTTGAGTACACGGGTCTACCCCAGTGGTGTCATCTAGGGCTGGGACAGGTAACTTGGATACTCGGTCTGCCCCACCGGTGGCATCTAGAGTTGGGAGGGGTAACTTGGGTACTCGGGTCTGCCCCACCAGTGGCATCTAGAGCTGGGACAGGTAACTTGGGTACGCAGGTCTGCCCCACCAGTGGCATCTAGGGCTAGGACGGGTAACTTGGGTACGCAGGTCTGCCCCACCAGTGGCATCTAGGGCTGGGACGGGTAACTTGGGTACTCGGGTCTGCCCCACCAGTGGCATCTAGGGCTAGGACGGGTAACTTGGGTACTCGGGTCAGGTTGGTCCTGAGTAGGATCTGGTTTCCCACTTGACTATCCGAACCCGTAGTTAGTCACGTGAGATACTGTTTAATGATATTAACAATAAAACTCAATGGTTACACTACGAGTAGCTGATGTTCACATTTCTTTCTGTCTGTGCAAGCATTCGTTCTGACTTTTATTTGTTCGAGTAAGGATAATGCATCTATTAACTTCAGTGTATGCATGATCAGATCGTTTTATATGTGTATCTAAATAGTTTTTTCCAGGGCTGCAAGAATATTTTGTACCCAACTCTTGAGATTTATAGTGGGTAGGGCTGGGTAATAGGGTGTCAGCTACCAAGGTAGTAAATGTGGACTCATCCCAGCCCTAGTGGCATCCATCACAAACACATGCAAAGGCAAGGCAATTGTTCACCTGAAAATAACTGGGAACATATGGTACAATGCCTTGCTTTCAGATTCTGCCAAGGGGAAAAGGTCTGCCAACTGTGCCTCTTTGGGCTTTCATTCCTCATTAAGCGGTCATGACTCAATTACTTGCACAATTGAACCAGTAACAGCATTTAAACACTGTCATTTTCCAGGCTGAATAAGAATGGACTTTGTGTGAGCTAGAATTGTGTGAGCTACGTCGTTAGAGAGCAGGTCCAACTGTGGGTGCATCCATGAAGTTCAGTCTGTTACATGTTACTCCACGTGTGTTTCGTCAACTGTTGTGCTGTAACTGTGTTTCCACTACAGAATATTCCTCTGGCTGCGCTGACGGCACCACGGAAGGCCTGCACATGCACCGCGACGTTCATGCATGTGCCGGGGAGTGGAAAGGTCATGTGAAGCATGGGAAGAGTCTATGTCAGAATGGGTGGAGGGTGTGCAAGCCACAGGACCAGTCCATTCTGCAGGAGTTGACCTGGCTGGACATATTCGACCTTGGGGGATGCTACGCCTACAATGCTGCCAACAGCAAGGGGAGGTGCAAGAGGTGAGTGCTGACCATATATGGAAGTGTATGATGACTGTATATGGGTGTAGGATAACAATATATGGGTGTGGGATAACTATATATATGGGAATATTACCACACTAGGAAAAGTCTTAGACCATTTATTGGTGAGTTGGACTATATTTGGGGGAGTGGAGACCATATGTTTGTTAGCGTGTAATTTGGTCTGGTGTTGGTCCTTATATACGGAAGAGTGGTGACCATATTTGGTTGAGTGGTGACCAATTTTGGTTGAGTGATGACCATATATGGAAGAGTGGTGACAATATTTGGTTGAGTGTTGACCATATATGGAAGTGTGTTGACCATATATGGAAGTGTGTTGACCATATATGGAAGAGTGTTGACCATATGTGGAAGAGTGTTGACCATAAGTCGAAGAGTGTTGACCATATATTGAAGACTCTATAGTGACAACAAGTGATGGGGACCATAGAAGATGTGCAGTAGTTATCCTCATACCTTTCAAGTGGTCTGTCATACAGATATACCAAATACAGCCCATGCAAGTCTGTAATGTTTGGCAAGTCTAGATTCCTGCTGTATCATAAAATGAAGAAAGCGTTCTCGGCTCCTTTTTATTATATTTTATAACTATAATTGAACAACTGTTTTGTCAGTAGAATATGTTCATTTCAGAGACTAGATGTTAGTCTAACCTTTCAAGGTGTAACAGCAAATACTTATGGGCGGCCATTCTGTCAAAAAATACAAAGTTGAAATAAAGGACAAAAGTATGCAATTATTGTCAAATGTTAAGAATAAAGTATTAAACGTTACTAATAAAGGTCAAAATACAAAACAAACAGATGCCAGTTTATAAATGAAAAGTTGAAATAAAGGTCAAAAGTATGCAATATAATAGTCAAATGTTACAAAAAGACATCATATGAAAAGAAAGAACAAGTGTACTAAAGAACGTCAGTGTGCACGAAAGGACACTAAACTGCTAAAGAACGTCAGCGTGCACGAAAGGACACTAAACTGCTAAGGGACGTTGACAATAAAGAACGCCAGATGACGCTGCAATTTGTAAAACATTCTAGGTTTAATCAGTGTCTGTTTATTTTGTATTTTGACCTATATTAGTAACATTTAATACTTTATTCGTAACATTTGACTATTATTGTGTATGTTTGTCCTTTATTTGAGCTTTGCAATTTTTTTACCAAATGGCCGCATATAGAGCCATGATGACATTGTGGGAAAGTAGTAATCCACTTCCCTTCATGTCCATACTGTTGTTTATGTAACTTACAGAAGTAACTAATACCAACAATAAATATACGTTACTCTTGCTGACACTTGGTGACCATCTGAACAGTATCTACATCACTCCATCTGTATCGACAGGTGTACAAAGAACAAGATGGCAGGAATAGGACGAGAGTGCGGGTGGATGAGATATTCCCAGCATTCCTGTCTGTTTCACGGCAGAATCGATGTATATCACCCCAAAAACAACACGGGCTGTGTGTACAAGGAGAACTACACGTCTGGGGTTGTTTGTTGCAAGAAGAAGAAACGGAGGAGGCCAGGTAGGTCATATTGAGCCAAACAACATTCATTCACACACTCATTCCCAAAACATCCACCCATGCACACAAACAAACTCTCACTCTCCGCCTCCGTGATCTAGTGGCAAACGTCCGCCAGGAGAGCGGAAGGTCCGGGGTTCGATCCCTGGCTGCATCATTCCAAAAGACATTAAAAGATGGTACTTGTTGTTACCCTGACTGGCGCTCGGCATTAAGGGGCTAAAAGAAGGAATGGTTGGCTCAGAGCCACACAGATACACAACATGCATGCACGTCGCTATATAAGTGCAATAATCTTGGACACGACGTTAAACCCCATTTCACCTCACCTCATTTTAGATGCTACTTTGCTGATTGCAACAATGACTACACTATAGAACAAAACGTGCCCACCACGCACTCACGCACTCACGCACTCACTCACTCACCCAAACATCCAGCCACTAACTGACTCCCTCCCTATTGCAGCCTCTAAGAAGCCAGTGTGCAGCCCATCGTGTGAGAACCAAGGCCAGTGCGTGGCCAACAACCGATGTCAGTGTTCCATCGGATACAAGGGGGCTCGATGTCAGAACCGTAAGTACAGCAAAGATTAGTCCGGGATTATGGTTCATTTAAAGCAGTTCTTTTGGTATTTAGATACATGTATCGAACAATCTGGTCATGCATTCACTGAAGTTGACTTAAGTTATATCTTTATTCAAACATATGAAAAGTCAGAAAGACTTGTAGTGTAACCATAGAGTTCTAGATAATTATTGTCATTAAACAAAATATCATGTGATTAACCATGGGTCTGGGTAGTCCTGTTGGTACCGGGGTCCTACTCAGTACCTGCCCGACTTGGGTACCCAAGTTACCCATCACAGGCCTATAGGAACATGAAGAAGGTCATAGTTAGAAGCTTACCCTTCGTGAATTTGAGGGCTGATATAATATGTATCGTATTTGACGTAATAAGTGCCCTGCTCTAATAAGCGCCCACGGTGATATTTGCTAATCCCAATTAGCACCCCTTCCGATTGATCAATGTACACAAGAATTATTTATTCGTGTATAATACGCACTCGTGAGTTATATGCACTCTTAATTACAGGCAATTAAATTCTGGAAAAATATATCTGTCGTGTAACGCACAGACTTTTCTTTTGTATCATTTCAAGCTGTCAGCATAAACCACGAAATTTACGATCTTTCAACTCTTTCACCAAAATTATATACTAATAAGCGCCCCCTATTTCTAATTTTTAGAGCGCCCTGGGCGCTTATTACGTCGAATATGGTATGTGGCCTATTTGTTTTGTCTGAGATTGAGTGAGTGAGTATAAACTGTATGTTTACCTTCCAGCCATCTGCAGCCCCGGGTGTGGAACTAAGGGCAAGTGTGTCTCACCCAACAAATGCAAGTGCCACACTGGCTACATGGGCAAGTTCTGTCGCAAGAAGGTCATCAAATGTCACAAGCCATGTTTGCATGGCGGCCGATGTTCGCGAGGGAAGTGTCGGTGCCCTCCAACACACTGGGGAAATTCATGTCAATATCGTGAGTAGCAGTCAGGACAAAACTTTGTACAATACTGTCTTTTAGTACTTGTATCTAGAATTCAGACACTTCCATATCTTTTGGAAATTCAGAAATAAAGATGTTCAGGTCTCAGGACGCCATTGATGTTATAAGTGTTGGTGCCGATTGCTGATCTTTCCGATTGTGTGTCATCTTTCCCTGACCCCAACCACTTGTTCCTTGATTACTAACAGACCAACACTCACTCACCTTCTTTACAGACAAGAGTTGCCTCCCTTAGATGTCCCAGAATCCGATGATTGTGGGTTCAATTCCCAGATTTGCCCTGATGATATTCTAGGTCTGTCAGCACCATACCCATGCTCATGGTTTCACCATAATGGGAAGCATCTGAGACCTGCATCACGATATTTAAAAAAACAACAGTGATTCCATACCCCACAACCATATTTTCTTGAGTACAGTGCACACTTTTTTCCAATAAACAGCTGTAGAGGGTGCGCATTATACATGCCACAATGAGTTTTCATGTTTTCCCCCTAATACGCAGACATTACTGCGAGCACGTAACACCAGAAATACCATGTCAACCAATCTATACTGAAGTAATTTAATCCTGTTTCTAATCGGGTTTTTTATTAAATTAAAAATTTCACTTACCGCATTCGACCTAATAAGCGCCCCACTCTTTTAAGCGCCCACGGCAACATTTGCTAAACTATTGTCTAGTGAACAATCCCAATTAGCACACCTTCTGATTGATCAATGTACACAAAACTTATTTATTCGTGTATAATATGCACTCGTATGTTATATGCATCCTTAATTATGGGCAATTAAACTCTAATATATCTGTCATATATAAACATTTCAGGCTGTCAGCATAGGCATCGTATAACACACAGACTTTTCATTGTATCATTTCAGGCTGTCAGCATAAGCCACGAAATTCACGATCTTTCAACTGTTTTATTCACCAAAATGATATTCTAATAAGAGCCCCCTATTTCTAATTTTGAGAGCGGCATGGGCATTATGTCGAATACGGTAATATTGCTTCCATTAATTTTAGATTAGTATATCTGAATGCATCCGTGACCCCTCAGTGCTGGAATAAAAGCAGTTTTAGACATTAGATGTCCTTTCCCTTGATATGGCTGGAATATTGATAAAATCCTCACTGGACCAATCTGACGGTCTCTATTCCTGTCCCCCCCAGCCCCTGTGCATTCCTGTTAGGAATTGATGCATTCCTGATGGTATGGATGAGGCAGTCAGACCCGGTGTCATCATGACCCATAGGGCGTTGATCGTTGCTTGTAATATCAGTCATTGGATTGTCTGGTCCAGTCTCGGTCATTTACAGGCATCCACAGACCCTCCCGCAATTTGGTGAAAACTCCTACACGAGAAACTATTTCTCCAGCAAAACAGCATTTTCATGAACTTGAGTAGGACCAAAGAACAGGAAGTTTACGATTACGGAAATCTATGAGCAAGTTTTCAGATTAAAACCGTAGGTAGACATGCATGCGATACCCCCGATCTATCCGGGAGGCTCGCGGATTAGCGACTCCTATCCCACTGGGGGACCCAGATTGGCCTTTGTCTAGCAATCAACTGATAATTAAATCCATATGGTTAACGATTTAACAATGTAAACTGTAAAGAAAACTCGGATAGTCCTAACAACAAACAAACAAACAAGAAAAACAAAACCATTCTTGTGTCTGTGTTTACAGTTCTTCAGCATATTCTCCTGTCTAAACTGAACCGCACGGAGAGATGAGAGTCGGGACGAGGCTGCCCGGATTTCCCTTCTCACTGCCACAGATGTACAGAAGCACGGAGACTAGGACGGAGGACAGACGTGGAAGAGGTCAGCTTGGCCCACACTGACGAAGTAGTTGTCGTTTCTCAAGGAAGGCTCTTGTGTATATTGTTGTTTCATTGTAAATTGTGAATTGTAAATAGACCTGTTGACTATTTATAAAGAAGGATGACTACCACATGATGTATATAATGTTTTACTATTTCTTCCGTCATTGCAAATGGCACATCTAGACATATTGTGCTAACTTATTTGAAATCCTCTTTCTAAACACTCTGGTTTCATACCGCTGGATGCTGAATCATTTGCTGGGTAGTCTCTTTAGGCATCGATATTGAGTGACCTAGTTGGTTCTGCTGGTTTCTTTGGATGTCTTTGACATGCTACTCAAAGTTTGTTAAGGATATGTCTGATCACAGATCACTGTTGATGCAGATACAAAGAAGTGAGAAATATGTGAAGGCAAATTGGAAGAGTTTTTGTATGCTGTCATCAGTTTCATTGTCATCACATATACATGTACAATGTCGCCTAAAACAAGATGGCTGCCAGGGTGACAGGTCAGATGGTGAAGGTCCATGCTAAAAGTTGGTGTTCTTTCTGTATTTTACAACCAATATCCTTAGCAAATATTGAGTAAGCTTCATGATCTGAACAAGATGCTGTACCATGTTTTATAAAGCTGAATCTTTGTGTCTGTAAATAGTATTCAGACTGCAATACTGTTCAGGCTAGTATACTGTTCAGGCTAGAATCTGCAAAACTATTAAAGCTAGAATCTCCAGTACTGTTCAGGCTAGAATCTGCAGTTCCTTTCAGGCTAGAATCTGCAAAACTGTTAAATCTAGAATCTGCAGCACTGTTCAGGGTAGAATCTGCAGTACTCCTCAGGCTAGATCTGCAACACCACCAGCAAAAATGGAAACATTTCATGAGGAGAATTTAGGCAAGACCAATTTGATATCCGAGATAATTATCAAAAAAATAAAGTGAAAATTTTGCCCCCCAAATGGTTAAATTACTTTTTTTTACGCAAAATTTATATTTAAATCTTTTTTTTGTGTTCATTTCCATATGAGTTTCAATAACTACATAAATATACTTGATCTCCAGCTTTCGGCCTCCTTGCCTTCATCATACTCTCTAGCACTACCTTACTTGAGGTGCTAGTTCCACTGTACTTAAACTAAAGAATTTTGGCCAAGTACCTAGAAATCTGTGAACGAATTGGTCTGGCATTAATTCTATTACAATTTGTAACTTTTTTTTTAAATGTTTTTTTCAGTGTTGTGTATTACATTTTGTAATATTTCCTGTTTTCTCAATCTCAGTGCACACGTCCCATTTCTAGGATGTTATACCTTGATGTAGTGTTTCTGGTGTAGAGATAATGTGGTACCCTTATTGTATTCTATATCATAATATCACTTGTTATAATCATTCGAATGAATAACTCCGCTACGACGAAAATATAATATTTTGTTTCAAACTAGATACACTGTAGGTGGCGCTTTAGTGATAACCAATGAAAAGGATTCATTATCAAACGTGTTTACAAAGGCAGACCATTAACGATATTTTTTATATAATCCGAGGTGTCTGGGACAGTTCTACACTGTTGCCAGATTGTTGTGAAGTGAAGACTGCAAGGTCTGGAAGCAGCGTGCTGTCGTTGCTGCCGCCGACTTCACACATATTGGACTGTTCCCCGTAGTTTTCAGCTTCAGGTTTCATACACCTAATACATCTCAGGAAAAGATTCATGCAAGATATTATTGGGTATCAATTTCAATTTCACACACAACACATACTACAAACAAGACACTGATAGAATATTGTATAGAGCTCATTTGCATCCAGATTCACCCTTCCAACTCACATGTAGTTATAGTTGGAAACGTTAAGGGCCCTCTTAGTGTATTTGGGGCTGCAAACTCCGTCATGAATTTAATTAAATCATTTTGTTAATGTTTTCAATTATTTATTCTGAAAGAATGGCCTAAAAAACTTGTACTTAGATCAAACAGATTTAGATATTCCAAAATATTTATTTGCCCATGAAGATTAAATTGTTTTGGGGTTTGTAAGCCGAGATGATTGTTGGGCTGAAATGCTTGTAGACTTGCCTTTTAGTGTACAAACTACCTCACACTAGTCTCGTGTACTGTGTATATACATTATGTAATACATTATATGTTGTCGCTAACACATGTAGCCACTGTTCACCTCCCGGGGGCGACATCACCTTCAGCATCCCTCGTCTTCATTCTCATTGTGTTCGCAACAATGGTATTCCCTAATTTGCATAAAAACTGTCGAGTTTGAATTTTTCCATGTTTTTTTCCGAATTTGCATAAAACAATGTCAAGTTCGAATTTTTCCATGGTATTTCCCTTATTTACATAAAAAATTGTCACGTTCGAATTTGTCCATGGTATTTCCTAATTTGCATAAAAAATTGTCACGTTCAAATTTTTCAGTGGTATTTCCTAATTTGCATAAAAAATTGTCACGTTCGAATTTGTACATGGTAATTCCTAATTTGCATAAAAAATTGTCACGTTCAAATTTTTCCATGGTATTTCCTAATTTGTATAAAAATTTGTCAAGTTCAAATTTTTCCTTAATAAAATAAATAAATGATCAAGAGTCATTTTGATTTTGTCATATTAATAATGATATTTCATTAATATTTGCATCTGGATATTCCTTGGATTAGAATGTTTCAACCAAGTTTGTCTGTGTTTAGTTCATTCTCTGCACCAAAACAGCTTAAATCACACCAACTCATGACATCATTCTGTAGAAATATAGGTTGTTTAGAAATCAAGATTTGTCTTCATTAACGCTTGTATTTCATGATTATGCCTGTATTTCTAACCAGATCCACAAGCCCAGTATTAGATTTGTCTCTTGTAGGAATTTGTCTTCTAAGTCCCCACGTTTAGAAAAATATTTAAAAAATCCATTACATATTCTTATGACTAGGAAATCTTTTGTTCTAGAAATCTATTACAATTTAATCTATCTGTCCAATATCAATATTTTTTATCATTATTAATGTACAACTGTATTTCATGATTTGGAAATAATTTGTAGAATGTTTCTTGTTTGCAGAAATATGAATACAAAAGTGATCATGTTACAATCTGTTGTCTATAAGTGACACCCCACCCCCCCCCCCCCCCACCCCCCCACCCCCACCCCCATGTGTTATCCTAAGGGCTGGCTATCGACATAGATCATCGTAGAATATCAATAATTGTTAACAAAATATGCTAAATTTTGGCGAAGTGACTATGACCTACTATGCGGAAATGTCTGAAAGCAATCAACATGTTTCACAACCCTGGTGAGTGGTGACAAATTTATGCATGGATTACTTTGTGGACATTTAAGATATGACAAAAACTGTTGCTTTTTTTCATCTTGGCAATTGACATGACTGACAATAGTCTTTTTCAGTAAATTTAAACTTTATTTCATCACAATTGTTTATGTAAGATATCATCAATAACACAATTTTCATATTTATAGTCGTTAATATTTCTTCGTTACTTCTGATTATCAATCTTTTTAGCCAGCCCTAGTTACCATGGTAGAACGTTGTCCTGCTGCTGCTGCTGCTGCTGTTGTAGCTGTCCCTCACATCATTGTTTCCGTCAGATGCCTGTTGCTCTGTTATTATGTTGATATATAGGTGTTTACTACAGAGGTGCACATTATACACTGAGAGCAATAAAGTTTATGTTTGTAGCAACAGGTTTCTGTTTTTTCATAATCTTCAACCAGGAAGATATGTAATAACACTCAACTCAACACATCAGGTGAGTGAGTGTATTGCTTTAAGCGAGCAGTATTGCAGCTACACTACAATAGAAACAGTATACTCACTCCAAGCCCGTCCCCTAACTGCTGAGCCCCAGGCAGGGAAACAACAAGTGTCATCTTTTAACATCTATTGGTATGACATGGCTTGGGGATCAAAGCACTAACGTTCGCTTTGTGGTCAGATACTATTTCCACTCAGCCACGGACAGTTATACAAGGTCAAGGTCGGCTGTTCACCCAAGCTAGTCCCATATCCAAGTGCCACACAAGGTCAAGGTCAACTGTTCACCCGAGCTGGCCCCATGTCCAAGTGCTACACAAGGTCAAGGTCAACTGTTCACCCGAGCTGGCCCCATGTCCAAGTGCTACACAAGGTCAAGGTCAACTGTTCACTTGAGCTGGCCCCATGTCCAAGTGCTACACAAGGTCAAGGTCAACTGTTCGCTTGAGCTGGCCCCATGTCCAAGTGCTACACAGGGTCAAGGTCGACTGTTCACCCGAGCTGGCCCCATGTCCAAGTGCTACACAGGGTCAAGGTCGACTGTTGAACCCCGATAGCCCCATGTCTAAGTGCTACACAGGGTCAAGGTCGACTGTTCACCCGAGCTGGCCCCATGTCCAAGTGCTACACAGGGTCAAGGTCTACTTCACCCGAGCTGGCTCTATGTCCAAGTGCTACACAGGGTCAAGGTCGACTGTTCACTCTAGCTGGCCACATGTCCAAGTGCTTTACAGGGTCAAGGTCGACTGTCCACCTGTGCTGGCCCCATGTCCAAGTGCTACACAGGGTCAAGGTCCACTGTTCGCTTGAGCTGGCCCCATGTCCAAGTGCTACACAGGGTCAAGGTCCACTGTTCGCTTGAGCTGGCCCCATGTCCAAGTACTACACAGGGTCAAGGTCGACTGTTCACCCGAGCTGGCCCCATGTCCAAGTGCTACACAGGGTCAAGGTCGACTGTTGAACCCCGATAGCCCCATGTCTAAGTGCTACACAGGGTCAAGGTCGACTGTTCACCCGAGCTGGCCCCATGTCCAAGTGCTACACAGGGTCAAGGTCTACTTCACCCGAGCTGGCTCTATGTCCAAGTGCTACACAGGGTCAAGGTCGACTGTTCACTCTAGCTGGCCACATGTCCAAGTGCTACACAGGGTCAAGGTCGACTGTTCGCTTGAGCTGGCCCCATGTCCAAGTGCTACACAGGGTCAAGGTCCACTGTTCGCTTGAGCTGGCCCCATGTCCAAGTGCTACACAGGGTCAAGGTCGACTGTTCACCCGAGCTGGCCCCATGTCCAAGTGCTACACAGGGTCAAGGTCGACTGTTGAACCCCGATAGCCCCATGTCTAAGTGCTACACAGGGTCAAGGTCTACTTCACCCGAGCTGGCTCTATGTCCAAGTGCTACACAGGGTCAAGGTCGACTGTTCACTCTAGCTGGCCACATGTCCAAGTGCTACACAGGGTCAAGGTCGACTGTTCACCTGAGCTGGCCCCATGTCCAAGTGCTACACAGGGTCAAGGTCGACTGTTGAACCCCGGTAGCCCCATGTCCAAGTGCTACACAGGGTCAAGGTCGACTTCACCCGAGCTGGCTCTATGTCCAAGTGCTACACAGGGTCAAGGTCGACTGTCCACCTGTGTCACTTGGTTAATTGACTTCTCACGAATCAAAGGATTACCACCAGCGGAAGGATTACCACCAGCGGAAGTGTATTGTCCGGATAAGTGAGACAATTTTGTGTGCATTTCAGTGTTTTGTGTATGAAAATGACCATCCGGTTCTCGAAACTGAATTTCCATATATACGGGTAAATTTATATAGTAATTATTTCGTTTTGAATGAAAATCATCCGGGAACCGAGGTTTCCGGATATCTGAAGTCCGTATAAGCGATCAGCCATAAAGCATGAAGAACAAGTTGCAAAGGATATCCCTTATATTGACCTGGAGACATGTTGACAACATACAACACACTATCATGCATATTCGTTTCCTTTCACAAACAAATCCCATGCTGGCCATAGGACGTGAATCAGTGGATTGGGTGGTCTGGCTCCATGACTTAATTGACTGCATGTCATTCCCAACAGCGGTGATTGCTACTCATGACATCAATCATTGGATTGTCTGGTCCAGAATTGATTATCTACAGGTCACTGTCATAGGGTAGGACTATTGTCCTTAGCAACATACAAACATTTAACAACCATCTCATAAAGATACTGAAATTCAAATGTTTATTGTATGAGACACCATAAACCAAAATACATCAAGTGCATACCATACAGTACAGGATCATTTTACAAAGATTCCATTGTTTCACTTCAGTACATTTCTGCTCTTAAAGCCATATTTGAAATATGACATAACATATCTTAAATCTTGATCAATTGTGGTTGCTATGAAATGAATAAATTGTTGGACTGACAGTCGATTTACATATTTATCTGGTATGTATGGCTTTTGAATATCGTTTAAGGATGGACACATAAAGGTGAAATGATACAGACCTTCAATATGTCTTAACTTCAATATGTACATAATCTTTCAGATTTAAGAACTTTGTTGTGTCTCCCAGTATCAATATTAAGCCTTGTACAGACAACTCAAATGTACAGTGCAAATATACACAAGGCCGTATTTTTCTGCTTCAAGGCTTATTTTCAAAAGTGTACAACATTTATATCTAATACTAGATGATAATATTTTAGTCCATTCTTCACTGTACTTATCTTTCAGTCTGGCTTGAAAAAGGGTAAGAAAACTAACTACATGTATTAACGTATACAGTACATCCACCATCTTGGTAAATCCAAGCAAATAGAACGTGTAACATCTCTTGTCCAATTCTACCTACTGAATCAAGATAAACAAGAAAACAATGTTATCACTAAAATATAGTAGTGAATATAAACTATCAAAAAGAGTTCAATAAAGTCTAAAGAAGACAGAGGCGGTTGGGCCACATTAAAAAAATGATTAAATGTGAATTTCATTCAAACAAAAGTCTCCTTCCCTGGTGAACTATCCTGATAAGTATCTCTTAGATAAGATAACTTCAGTAGTTTCTAAGAAAACTTGTCACCATTGCACACACTAATAACATAACCTGGATCAAGGGCCGTAACTCTGTAAAACAATAACTGACGGGACAAATTTTTGAACGTAGACATACTTGTCAAGACTAAGATAAGCATGCAAACTTTTTTTTATGTAACTTCAGTAGTTGCTGAGAAAACCGTTTCCCAATTTCACACAGTATGCACTAAGTTGAAGAGCACGGAGCAAGGGCCAATACTCTGTAAAAAAATTTACAACACCAATTTTTTAACTCACCTTAGATCTAACCAGTAACATCGGTGTGTAAACTTTTATTTTTCTGACTTAAATAATTTTGTGAAAATTTGTCCCCTTTGAGAAGTTGACAGACAGAAGGACGGACGGAAGGACAGATGAACTCTGTTCCTATATTCCCGACCCCACTTCGCGGCAGGGGATAATCACATTTTGTTAGCCTTTAGGGAACATGTATTAGATGACATACGAAGTAGTTTTAGCCATTTAATGAATTTCACTGAACTGTTAATCAACAATGGGTACCGTCCACATTGCCCAAAAGCCAATACATTGGAAGTGTTAACACTTGTACCAATACAAGATAATATTTATATGCTAGATATTGGACATTTTCTACTACCCCTAATCCTTGATGAAATGGTATTATTTTGTAAAGAAATTTATCGGAAACCATTGCTCGGTGATAAGTAGAGTTTCATCTACATGTGCGGGTTTCTACAGGTTTCAAATATCACAACCAGAACATCAGTGTCAAAGTTGGTAGGAAATATGCACCTCATTCTACAGCGTCCTCCAACCATGACTGCTTATATTTGATATGTTTCAAAGTTCAATAATATTAATCACGAAACAAGGATTAATTAAGAAGAAAGTCTTTCATTCTCAATTTCCATGAATCAAATGCTTGTGATATTAATTTATGATTGAATATATTTCTCCAAAAGAATTTACTATTTACTATAACTAGTAATATTAATGACATGTTACACATCCATGGTATTAATTTAGACAAGTTAGTCCAAATGGGTCAATTCAGATCTTTCATCCAAAAGGTTACTTCAGAATTTATCTGTCTTTGATCCGCCTCTTCCATCCTGTCTACAGTTTATTTCACTCCAGATCAAGTTCTTCCTCTCCCTCATCCTTGTCTTCCTCATCCGATCTGGCATCACCACCAGTTCTGAGACATGTCTTGATATCCTCTAGGGACCATACCCTGATGGTGTAAGGAAGCTCCAACCATTTCTTGCAGTGCTTGATCTCACTGGTTTCCTCATTGACAACGATGAAGTTCTTGATCGCGAGTGAGGGGTACGAGATCCCCTGGTATAGAAACTTCGTCCCCCAGGCCCTGTGGCATGTCTTACACTGCATATGCCCCGTCAGTTTTATTCCATCGATATTTTTCTGGTTTTGGAATGGTTTGACTTCAATCCGCCCTTCAAACTCGCTGTCAATGACGACATGATGGTTATCATTAATGACCCTCAGATCTTTGCTGTGGGCACAAAATGTTTTACAGCGAGTACACTTCAGTTTAAAGTTTGTTTGAAGTTTCTGTCGATTCTGACGTCGCTGGACAAGATCCTTGGTTTTCTCTTTTACCAGGGTCTCTTCCTGAAGACTGCCGGTCCTGCGAATGACTTGATCAATTGGCATTTGTAGGATTTTCTTGACAGCTCTTTCCATCATGGCAGCCCGAGCAAGATTGAGTATTTCTTTCTGGTGGGTCTTGCTGCTGCCCAACAGAACAGAGGTGCCTCCTGCCTTCCGGCTTCTCCCTACACAGAGAGGCAGTACCTGGTGTTATTCTGCTCATGCAACAGTGGCTAAATCAAGAAGGGACACTACAAGGAGAGCACATAAACAGCTGCCCTCTGACACTGATCCTCACTTACCAGATGAACATGTCCTGTGAGTATCACCCTGGGTGGATTCTGGGTCAGAATTGGTCCCCAGCAACCTTATTTTGTATGTCCCTTTTGGGGATTCTTGGTTCCCAGCAACCTATTTGTGTATGTCCCTGTGGGGATTTCAGGTCAGAATTGGTCCCTAGCAACCTTTATTTGTATGTCCCTCTGGGGATTTCAGGTCAGAATTGGTCCCTAGCAACCTTTATTTGTATGTCGCTGTGGGGATTCCAGGTCAGAATTGGTCCCCAGCAACCTTATTTTGTATGTCCCTTTTGGGGATTCTTGGTTCCCAGCAACCTATTTGTGTATGTCCCTGTGGGGATTTCAGGTCAGAATTGGTCCCTAGCAACCTTTATTTGTATGTCCCTGTGGGGATTTCAGGTCAGAATTGGTCCCTAGCAACCTTTATTTGTATGTCGCTGTGGCGATTCCAGGTCAGAATTGGTCCCCAGCAACTTTTATTTGTATGTCCCTGTGGGGATTCCAGGTCAGAACTGGTCCCCAGCAACCTATAATTCTTATGATTCCTTTACCTTTAAATCACGCTATTACAGGAACAACTAGTTATGTACAGCTGATAGTGAAGAAGACTTCTGTTGAAATCTGAAAGTTTAGTTTTAGTGTGATTGCAGCCAAAATGGATTCCAGGTTAGAAATGTACCCTAGTTACCTGCTTGTCTCCCTGTTGAGACCTTTGATTAGCAGCCTATGCTTGGTCCCCAGCAACCTATGTTTGTCCCCGGCAACCTATTGGTATTCTGGTTAGAATTGGTCCCCAGCAATCTATTGGTATTCTGGTTAGAATTGGTCCCCGGCAACCTATTGGTATTCTGGTTAGAAATGGTCCCCGGCAACCCATGTTGGTCCCCGGCAACCTAGGAGGATTCTGGTTAGAATTGATCCCAGGCAACCCATGTTTGTCCCCGGCAACCTATAGGGATTCTGGTTAGAATTGGTCCCCGGCAACCTATGGGGATTCTGGTTAGAATTGGTCTCCGGCAACCCATGTTTGTCCCCGGCAACCTATAGGGATTCTGGTTAGAATTGGTCCCTGGCAACCTATGGGGATTCTGTTTAGAACTGGTCCCCAGCAACCTATGTTTGTCCCCAGCAACCTTTGTTTCTCCGTGGACATTTTTTATAATGTCACAGAAGTTTACTTTTAAGTGTGCAAACCTGTAGAAGGCAGCAAATTAAAGTTCTGAACATGTATTTATCCCTGCCCATCATGTTGTTTGCTCTCCTCATTGTTCATGGTCCATTCCTCTGTCAGCTCTTTCTCATGATTAATTATTTTACTTCATTTTCAATTTCACAAAAATAACACTTTATTCTAGTTTATTCCTGTCTCACCTCCGGTCTGGATAGTTGTGATCTCATTGCCGACATGGTTGTACTTCACGACCATGTTGCATTCTGGGATATCCAGTCCTTCCTCCGCTACTGATGTGGCGACAATCAACTTGACCTCACCACTTTTGAACTTGGAAATCACTTTGTCTTGTTCATTCTGTGTCATACCTACAGAAACGAAACATCTTCAATATGAACTAAACAGTCAAGTACATTTGGCTCACTATCTCTTTTTTTACAATCTGAACATGAATCAAAGTTCAGGTTATGCGTCATATGACCTTTCACCTACAAATCATTGAGGGGGCATGGGTGTCCCAGCTGTCACTGTTCAGAGTTGTTTCCCTTTTGTGTGCAAGGAACCTATGATAGTGGGTTCAAATCCTTGATTTGCTCTGATTATGTTTCTGGGTTTGCCAGCACCACACCCACCCTCATGGACTTCACAAAGATGATCAATGTCTGTTAATTGCATAACTTTGTGATTTAAGATATCACACCATGATTTGACTAAAATACTGGTCAAAGTGACATTAAATCAAACTCATTCACTGACTGTTTCGACCCGTGAAGATATGGGTTAGAAAAGGTCTTCAGCAACCCATGCTTGCCGTAAGAGGCGACTATGCCTGTTGTAACAGGCAGCTAACGGGATCGGGTGGTCAGGCTCGCTGATTTGGTTCATGCATGTCACTGTATCCCAATTGCATTGATCGATGCTCATGATGTCAATCACTGGACTGTCTGGGTCAGACTCAATTATTTTTCTCCATATTATCGCGGCTCGTGTTCCTTTGGTGGCATTATAGGAAGACTTCGTACACGTGGGATATTGTGTGACTTCACATCCTGGTGTCCTCCATCGTTATATGGCTTGACTAATGCTTAAATAAGAGGCGACTAACGGGACTTGGTGGTCAGGAGATTGATTTGGTTGATGCATGTCATCGTATCCCAATTGCGTAACTCGATGCTCATGATGTCAATCATTGGATTGTCTGGTCCAGACTAGATTATTTACAGACTGCCGTCATATAGCATATAGAGTGTGACGTTAAACAACAAACAAACAAAACTCGCTGCTTCAATTACTTTGATGGTGTATTATGTCGGCCTGAAGAACAGAAGGTCGGTGGTTCGATCACCAGCCCTCTTCCCGAGGTAAAGGAGTTAACTGACTATAAAAGTCTTCTTTCCACCCCTGCTGAACTACCCTGTAATTTTGTACCTCGAGTGAGTTATGTCCCTTTTTTTGTCCCTCCTTATTGACCAATGAGGTTCCACCTCTCATACCACTTGCATTTGCTTCAAACAAAATGGTGACAGCCAGTCAAAACGATCTGATCAAGTTAATCGAAGAGAGGTTTCGCATTCCCTGTCTCAGACACCCAGTGCATGTGGATTGTAGCACAGCACTTGAGCACAATGATTAAAAACTTGGAAAGATTCGGAAAATAACTGACAAAGCCCAGTTGACATGCTTTGCAAATCCTGCAATTGACCGAAATCTATACTGCAGTCGCCTTTTTGTTAAAAAAAAAGGATGTCGATTTTTTACACGATTTTGAATGGACTATACATAGACTAATTAGTCAAAGTAAAATATAACTCAGAAATTCCAGCCTAGTTTGGCAAGGGTGGAAACTGGACTTTTATAGTCAGTTAACTCCCTTGTCTTGGGAGAATGTCCCCAGACATATCATATCATCATTAGATGATACGTGTTGTTTACCCTGCCTGACCTAGACTGGTCGGCTCACAGTTGCAGGCAGGCAGGCAGGCAGGCAGGCAGGCACGCAGGCAGGCACGCAGACACGCACGCAGGCACGCACGCAGGCACGCACGCACGCACGCACGCACGCACACGCAAACACACACACGCAAACATACACACCAAGTTACCAAATGCAATACCAGTAATCTCGACTTTCTTGACTCACCTCATATTAATGTCCTACTTTGCAACAACTTCAGTGTGTGGATGAGTGAGAGGCTTTTAACAATATTTAAACAATATTTCCGCTTAGGACACCTAAAATGGCCACAGTCATGATGACTGAACACTTTAACCATTTGACGACACCACTGCCCCAGTGACACCTAAACAAACCTGAAAACAACTCATGGTCAATATTTACTTTTACACAAAGCTGATACCTCCTCCAGACTCAAACATACGATTAAACACTGTTGTGTGTAAATTGATGTGTCAAATTTACGCTTGTTTCCAAGTAAAAGCTTGGTCCCTGCGTATTCCTTCTATATATATCAGTTTTGGTTGTGTCGAACCTGGAACCTCGGATAACTCCTAGTTAGGTAGGTCCCTTCATCTTCAACCACAACAGTATTTGACCGTATTTGACATTATCATCCAAAACTGGCTCCCAATGAAATTGCATCACAAGGCTTTGCAGACCATTGTGACGTCATTGGTTACCATGACATCACAATCATATGACATCACTAATGGCTCTGCTACTGAAGCTGTTAGCAGTACTTTTTACACTTAAGACACTGCTAATTACTGTCTACAAACTGAAAAAGTTGGAAGAATGATGTTGGATGAAAAATAAAATCTCACCCTCGTGACTTTTGATATCAAATATATCAACACTCGTTGATAAAAGTGGAAAAAATCCTTGGCAAGCCTCAGAGTTTTCCCACTTTTATCAACTCGTGTTGATATATTTGATATCAAAAGACACTCAGGTGAGATTCTCCATTTACTTTACCTCCTTCCTCGTCATTTGCTCCTGCACCAGTGAACGCCATGGCTTTCAGATCCTTCAGCTGGGGATCAATCTTGTCGTCTTCGTTCAGCCAGTTGGTCAGAGCGTAGCAGAAGGCCCTAGTTCTCACAAATATGATGGCTCGGGAGTCGCTGCCTTTTGAATCCAGCATTTCTGTCAGTGTTTTAGCTAACACTTTCAAATTGGGGTTGTCACATTGTCTGCCAAATTTCATCAAATTCTTTTTAAGATCTGAAAGGCAAATAAAGCCAGATAACGAATATGTATAAGATGTGTCACTGTGAAAGTGGCCTTTAAGGGTCCAGTGGCCAATGCACATGTATTTTATATTAATTATTATGATGATTATAAAATTGAAGTTGGAACAAGAAGAAAAACAAGAAGAAAAACAACATCCTTGGGATTTGTAGGAAATCTAAACATTCAGATGTGGGAAGCATGCTGGCCTCCAGACATTTCTGAAACTTGTGTTTACATTCCTGACTTGTAACATGACAGGTTTTATGCTTCACAGTTTCTCCTCACTTGTGGAAATCTCGCCCAGTTGCTCCTCCCAGGCCAGGTTGAGGCTGCTTTCTATTTGCTCGAGTGCCACGTTACTGAACTCTTTCTGCAGATATGCCACCACATCCTGGATCCGAGCGTACTCATGGATTTCCAAAGCAGCGTTGTATTTCTGGGAATCAAAACAAGTCCTAATCACACACAACTGAGGGGATTTGGGTCAGAATTAAGGGATCCTCTGACATTAGAGCAGACAAAACTGGGTACCAGGTAGTTGCACATAACCTTGCTCACGTTATCAACCACTGGTTTGCCTGGCCAAAACTCAATTAATTTATAGGCAACAGTGATACTGCATATTGCAGCACACAACAACATTCACTCACTCATGAGTATTCTCGAGTTACTTACAAACAGCTGATCGGCCATATCGAATATGCCTCTAGCCATCTCAGCTTTCCTCCGATCCACATCACTGCCATGGCCATCATCGGGTCCTGTCTGGACCAGCCTGGCCTCATTCTTCACCTTAACTGCCCACTGGCCATATGACTGACTGATACGGTCACTGGGAAGCTTCAGTAGCAGCTTGTCAATTGTTCTGTTATTCAGATCTGATCAAATCAAGTTACTCACATGTACATAACGCAGATCTAATCAAATCAAATTACAGTCACTTAAAAAACATAGATCTGGTTAAGTGAAATTACATTCACGTAAATAACATAGATCTGGTTGAGTGAAATTACATTCACGTAAAATAACATAGATCTGATTAAGTGAAATTACATTCAAGTAAATAACGTAGATCTGATTAAGTGAAATTACATTCATGTTAATAACATAGATCTGGTTAAGTGAAATTACATTCACGTAAATAACATAGATGTGATTAAGTGAAATTACATTCAAGTAAATAACGTAGATCTGATTAAGTGAAATAACATTCACTTAAATAACATAGATCTGGTTAAGTGAAATTACATTCACGTAAATAACGTAGATCTGATTAAGTGAAATTACATTCACGTAAATAAAGTAGACCTGATTAAGTGAAATTACATTCACGTAAATAACGTAGATCTGATTAAGTGAAATAACATTCACGTAAATAACGTAGATCTGGTTAAGTGAAATTACATTCACGTAAATAACGTAGATCTGATTAAGTGAAATTACATTCACGTAAATAACGTAGACCTGATTAAGTGAAATTACATTCACGTAAATAACGTAGATCTGATCAAAGAAAATTACATTCACATGAACAACGTAAACATGATTTTCATTATGATACTTATGTCACTTTAACATGAAAATATCATCAGTGCAAACTGTTCTCCCTACAGGAAACGAATTACCTTTGCAACATTTTGTCTGATGTACACACTGGTAGTAACACGTCCTATTATTCTACAGAGAGAAGTCCCAGTGTGGCGTTTATTTAAGACATGAGGTCACAGTGTATGGTATGAGTAGGACAGATGAAGGGCTGTGTTGAAGTTACGGAATTACATAATTCATTGGGTTTGCGGTCGATAAAATATTGCTATACATGATTAGCTAACAGAAGCAGCCCTCCACTGCCATTTCCAGATGTTCCTAGAAATCAGACCATACCACCATCCATTTCCAGATGTTCCTAGAAATCAGTCCATACCACCATCCATTTCCAGATGTTCCTAGAAATCAGACCATACCACCATCCATTTCCAGATGTTCCTAGAAATCAGACCATACCACCATCCATTTCCATTCAGAAACCATTCAGTATCTTCCTTCTGTAGAAATGATATCCACCAACATGCTGAAGTAACCTGCCTCCAGAAAACAGTCTACAGTCAGTTCTAGTCTCACGTTTGTTTGTTGTTGTTTAACGCTGCACTTAACAATATTCCAGCTATATGACGTCAGTCTGTAAATAATTGAGTCTCGACCAGACGGTCCAGTGATTGACATCATGAGCATCGATCCATGCAATTGGAATATGGTGACATGCATCAACCAAGTCAGCGAGGCTGACCACCTGATCCCGTTACTCGCCTCTTACGACAAGCATAGTAGCCTGTCACTGCAAGCATGGGTTGCTGAGGACCTATTCTACCCCAGATCTTCAGGGGTCTCTAGTCTCATGACATCACATGACTGAGAAAACACGACGCATGACACTCACGTGACACATGATCTTGACATAACACATGATGCTGACGTGATACATGATGCTGACGTGACATATGGCGCTGACATGACACATGATGCTTACATGATACATGATGCTCACATGACACATGATGCTTACATGACACATGATGCTGACGTGACATATGGTGCTGACATGACACATGATGCTTACATGACACATGACACTGACATGACACATGATGCTTACATGACACATGATGCTGACATGACATATGGCGCTGACATGACACATGATGCTGACATGACACATGATGCTGACATGACACATGATGCTGACATGACACATGATGCTCACATGACATATCATGCTGACATGACACATGATGCCCACATGACACATGACACTCACATGACACATGATGCTCACATGACACATGATGCTGACATGACACATGATGCTCACATGACACATGATGCTCACATGACACATGATGCTCACATGACAAATGATGCCCACATGACACATGATGCTCACATGTCACATGATGCCCAAATGACACATGATGCCCACATGACACATGATGTTCACATAACACATGATGCCCACATGACACATGATGCTCACATGACACATGATGCTCACATGACACATGATGCTCACATGACACATGATGTTCACATGAAACATGATGCTCACATGACACATGATGCTCACATGAAACATGACGCTCACATGACACATGAGGCTCACACGACACATGATGCTCACATAACACATGATGCCCACATGACACATGATGCTCACATGACACATGATGCTCACATGACACATGATGCTCACATGACATATGATGCTCACATGACACATGATGCTCACATGACACATGATGCTCACATGACACACGATGCTCACATGACACATGATGCTCAAATGACACACGATGCTCACATGACACATGATGCCCACATGACACATGATGCTCACATGACACATGATGCTCACATGACACATGATGCTCAAATGACACACGATGCTCACATGACACATGATGCTCACATGACACATGATGCTCACATGACACATGATGCTCACATGACACACGATGCTCACATGACACATGATGCTCACATGACACACGATGCTCACATGACACATGATGCTCACATGACACATGATGCTCACATGACACACGATGCTCACATGACACATGATGCTCACACGACACATGATGCTCACATGACACATGATGCTCACATGACACACGATGCTCACAGGACACATGATGCTCACATGACACACGATGCTCACATGACACATGATGCTCACACGACACATGATGCTCACATGACACACGATGCTCACATGACACACGATGCTCACAGGACACATGATGCTCACATGACACATGATGCTCACATGACACATGATGCTCACATGACACACGATGCTCACATGACACATGATGCTCACATGACACATGATGCTCACATGACACACGATGCTCACATGACACATGATGCTCACACGACACATGATGCTCACATGACACATGATGCTCACATGACACACGATGCTCACAGGACACATGATGCTCACATGACACATGATGCTCACATGACACATGATGCTCACATGACACACGATGCTCACATGACACATGATGCTCACACGACACATGATGCTCACATGACACACGATGCTCACATGACACACGATGCTCACAGGACACATGATGCTCACATGACACATGATGCTCACATGACACATGATGCTCACATGACACACGATGCTCACATGACACATGATGCTCACATGACACATGATGCTCACATGACACACGATGCTCACATGACACATGATGCTCACACGACACATGATGCTCACATGACACACGATGCTCACATGACACACGATGCTCACAGGACACATGATGCTCACATGACACATGATGCTCACATGACACATGATGCTCACATGACACATGATGCTCACATGACACACGATGCTCACATGAAACATGATGCTCACATGACACATGATGCTCACATGACACATGATGCTCACATGACACACGATGCTCACAGGACACATGATGCTCACATGACACATGATGCTCACATGACACATGATGCTCACATGACACATGATGCTCACATGACACACGATGCTCACATGAAACATGATGCTCACATGACACATGATGCTCACATGACACATGATGCTCACAGGACACATGATGCTCACATGACACATGATGCTCACAGGACACATGATGCTCACAGGACACATGATGCTCACATGACACATGATGCTCACATGACACATGATGCTCACATGACATACGATGCTCACATGACACATGATGCTCACACGACACATGATGCTCACATGACACACGATGCTCACATGACACACGATGCTCACAGGACACATGATGCTCACATGACACATGATGCTCACATGACACATGATGCTCACATGACACATGATGCTCACATGACACACGATGCTCACATGAAACATGATGCTCACATGACACATGATGCTCACATGACACATGATGCTCACATGACACACGATGCTCACATGAAACATGATGCTCACATGACACATGATGCTCACATGACACTCACATGACACATGATGCTCACATGACACATGATGCTCACATGACACATGATGCTCACATGACACATGATGCTCACATGACACATGATGCTCACAGGACACATGATACCAGAGGTGTTTTGTCCATGAGGGCTTATGGCCGTACACTGTGTCAGTATGTACATGAGATGCTGACTGAGTAAATCCACAATGTTGAATGAAATGTGTTACACACCATTTATGTCAATCATTAAGTCCTCTATCTTCTCCATTGCTTTCTCCAATTCTTTCCGTGCAGGGTCCTGTCGGTTTTCAGTCAAATTAACTTTTTCTATGAGAAAGAAACAAATGTGAGAATAGTATAGTATGTGCATTTCATCTGATCATTTTGTACATATACTTTTGAGTGAGTGAGTGAGTTGGATTTAACGCCACTTTTAACAGTATTCCAGTTATATCACGGCGTGTCAGCTTAATGTGGGAGGAAAGTCCGAAGTGATGCAGGTCTCAGACGTTTACTAGTTCGGGGAAACCCACGAGCCCGGGTATGGTGCTGAAAAACCTAGAAACATAATCGGGGCGAACCGGGATTCGAACCCACAATCATAGGCTTCTGGCATGCCGAAGGGACGCAAATCTGCACAGCGAATTGTGGCGCCTTAGACAACTGGGCCAACAGTGCCCCCTATACTTGAAGAGAAGCATTATAACTAACACGAGGCCATGCTCGGCTGCTAGTCTTGTGTGTGTTTGGTTAATGCCACACTCAACAATATTCCAGCTATATGGATGTGGCTTGTAAATAATCAAATCTGGAACATACAATCAAGTGATCAACATTGTTAGCAATGATCCATGCCGTTTGGATATGTGGACACACCATAAACCATGGAACAAATCCAATCCCATATAACAATGATCAGCATATAAACACTCAATCCCAAACTGCTTCCTACAAAGAGGGGGGCACGAGTGGCCCAGTCGTCTAGAAACCTATATTTGTGGGTTCAAATCCCGGTTCGCACTGATTATGTTTCTAGGTTTGTCAGCACCATACCCGTGTTCGTGGGTTTCACCGAAGTGGTAAACGTCTGAGACCTGCATCACTTCAGGCTTTCCTCCCACATTAAGCTGACACGCCGTGATATGACTGGAATACTGTTAAAAGCGACGTAAAACCCAACTCACTCACTCACGCTCCTATGAAGAGACATGGGAGTTCACAAGGTGATGAACTAATTGCATGATTATTTGAACTATACTTGCCAAGCAGTAATTTACTGCCAGCATTAACATCACTATTGCATTTTGTTGAGTTTCAGTGCAGGCATACAAATAAAACATCAATTTATTGTTTCCTAACTATAAAATATTAGGCTACAAAACATAATTTCATCAGGCACTGGGTCCATTGAGATCAGAAAGGCTCACTGTTACTTATACGATTAATTATTTCATAGACCTTCTTTCATCAGACACTGGGACCATTGAGATCAGAAAAGCTCACTGTTGCTTTTCCAATAATTTATTCATAGACCTTCTTTCATCTGGCACTGGGACCACTGAGATCAGAAAAGCTCACTGTTACTTATACTATTAATTATTTCATAGACCTTCTTTCATCAGACACTGGGACCATTGAGATCAGAAAAGCTCACTGTTGCTTTTCCAATTAATTATTTCATAGACCTACTTTCATCTGGCACTGGGACCTTTTCTCTGAGTTCCTCTATGTGTGTCTGTACTGTGGAGAGATAGGGGGCATCCATGTTGGCACACAGTTTCAGGATACTGTCAATGGCCTCCTCATCAACCGTTGCCTTCTCTACTCCCAAGGAGGCTGTCAGGCCTACAATCTGAAACCAAAAGGCAGGCAATTCATGACTAGATGTCATCCTAATGATTTTCATATCCTAAACCTTTCACACAGAGAAATGGTAGTTTAGTGGTCAATCTGATTGCCCACAGCTCTCAAGAGTGGGCATGATTTCGGATGGGGTACAAACATGAAGCCCCTTTCTGGTATCCACTGCCCTGATACAGCTGCATAGGGCTGGGAACTTGGGTACCTGGGTCACATGGGTAGTGAGAAGGACCCAGGTACCCACAGGACTGCCCAGACACGTGGTTAGTCACGTGATATATTCTCTAATGACAAAATTATCTAGAATTCTATGGTTACACGACAAGTCACTAATGTTCGTTTTTCTTTCTGACAATGCTCCCATTCCTTCTCACCTTCATATGTTTGAATAAAGATAAAACTTCAGTCAACTTAAGTGTATGCATGACCACAACGTTTTATACATGTATCTAAATACATTTTGCCAGGGCTACGATCAAATTATTCCCAATTGGACATTTTGTACCCTACTCTTGAAACCTACAGCGGGTACCCGGGTAGGGTTGGGTAATAACAAGGTGGGTACCCGGTTAGTAAATTTGGACTCATCCCAGCCCTACTGGTGCAATATTTATAAAAGTGGTGTGAAAAAGTCCCTCACTTTCTCTCCTTGGGCATAATCAGCTTAAATTACATATTACAACCTGACCATCCAGAACATGGAGTATAAAGTCTTAGTCAGCGGTTTAAGTGTGGATAATACCTGCGGTAGGCGAATGGATTTCTTTTTGCTTTTCTGCTTGAGATATCTGATCATGAGCTTGTTGTAGGGCTCCCCTTTCCGTGTGTGGTGACACTCATCCAGCACAATAAGGCTGAACACAGACAGGGACTTGATCTTTGCATCCCTCAGTTGGTTCTCCAGAATCTGTGGTGTCATCACAAAGATGTCGTAGTGGTCCAGCAATAGGTGGAGGACCGTGCTGTTCTCGTCCTCACCACTCAGCTTCACAACCTGTAAACAAGAGTAACCAGGTACAGAAGCTCACCTTCATTCAATGCTATATGTCTGTAAAAACCCATGTTATAATTCCTACTGAATGAGTGAGTGAGTGGGTTTTGTTTTACACTGCTTTTAGCAATATTCCAGAAATATCACTGCAGGGCACACCAGAAATGGGCTTCACACATTGTTCCCAAGTGGGGAATCGGACTAGGCTACCCCACCACCCCCACCGAATGAAACAGCTCTGAAAACAATACTAGAAGATATTCTTCTCTGCCTATCAACTTAAAAACTCATATGCCCATATGCAAAATAATGGTGACAAATTATATGAATGAAGCATTGAAAATCAATGATGACAAGTGTTTCGCAAAAAAGGTATGGACACAGGTTGAATGGTGTTAAATACAATTCATCTTAATGGGTTACAATGACTCAATCAGACAGGGTACATACCACTACCTCTTTATCCTCATTGTCGACTCTTCCAATAAACATGACACAATCAGACTGGGTACATACCACTACCTTCTGATCCTCATAGTCGACTCCTCCAATAAACATGACACAATCAGACAGGGTACATATCACTACCCTCTGATCCTCATAGTCGACTCTTCCAATAACCATGACACAATCAGACTGGGTAAATATCACTACCCTCTGATCCTTATAGTCGACTCTTCCAATAACCATGACACAATCAGACAGGGTAAATATCACTACCCTCTGATCCTCATAGTCGACTCTTCCAATAAGCATGACACAATCAGACAGGGTAAATATCACTACCCTCTGATCCTCATAGTCGAGTCTTCCAATAACCATGACACAATCAGACTGGGTACATATCACTACCCTCTGATCCTCATAGTCGACTCTTCCAATAAGCATGACACAATCAGACAGGGTAAATATCACTACCCTCTGATCCTCATAGTCGACTCTTCCAATAAACATGACACAATCAGACAGGGTAAATATCACTACCCTCTGATCCTCATAGTCGACTCTTCCAATAAACATGACACAATTAGCCAGGGTAAATATCACTACCTTCTGATCCTCATAGTCGACTCTTCCAATAAGCATGACACAATCAGACAGGGTACATATCACTACCTTCTGATCCTCATAGTCGACTCTTCCAATAAACATGACACAATCAGACAGGGTAAATATCACTACCTTCTGATCCTCATAGTCGACTCTTCCAATAAACATGACACAATCAGACTGGGTACATATCACTACCCTCTGATCCGCATACCAGACTCTTCCAATAAGCATGACACAATCAGACTGGGTACATACCACTACCCTCTGATCCTCATAGTCGATTCTTCCAATAAACATGACACAATCAGACAGGGTACATATCACTACCCTCTGATCCTCATTGTCGACTCTTCCAATAAACATGACACAATCAGACAGGGTACATATCACTACCCTCTGATCCGCATGCCAGACTCTTCCGATAAACATGGGGACAGCATCTGGTCAGGAAGACCCCCTCAAGGCAATTCGGATAAGTAACATTAAGTTTTGAAAAGTGATGTGTGTATTTGTAGTTGATAAAAGCACAATGACACAATAACTGAATAGGATATATTTCACCAAACAAATCATGTAGGCATTGTGTTCTTTCTTGGATGATTTCTTAGTTAACACATAATCCTAGAACCAAATGTGCTGCAATTTTATTTATTCAAGAGCCTACTTACCCTGTATTTACTATGGAATTTCCGGAAGGTTTTGTACTGTTGTGTAATTAGAGGTACTGTCCGTGCCAGGAACACCACCTTCCTTTTACCTGGAACAACCACCAACACACAGTATAACATGCACACGACACCAGGAACAACCACCAACACACAGTACAACATGTACACAACACCAGGAACATCCACCAACACACAGTATAACATGCACACAACACCAGGAACACCACCAACACACAGTATAACATGTACACAACACCAGGAACATCCACCAACACACAGTATAACATGCACACAACACCAGGAACATCCACCAACACACAGTATAACATGCACACAACACCAGGAACAACCACAAACACACAGTATAACATGCACACAACACCAGGAACATTCACCAACACACAGTATAACATGCACACAACACCAGGAACAACCACCAACACACAGTATAACATGCACACAACACCAGGAACAACCACCAACACACAGTATAACATGCACACAACACCAGGAACAACCACCAACACACAGTATAACATGTACAAGACACCAGGAACAACCACCAACACACAGTATAACATGTACAAGCCACCAGGAACAACCACCAACACACAGTATAACATGCACACAACACCAGGAACAACCACCAACACACAGTATAACATGTACAAGCCACCAGGAACAACCACCAACACACAGTATAACATGTACAAGCCACCAGGAACAACCACCAACACACAGTATAACATGCACACAACACCAGGAACAACCACCAACACACAGTATAACATGTACAAGCCACCAGGAACAACCACCAACACACAGTATAACATGCACACAACACCAGGAACAACCACCAACACACAGTATAACATGCACACGACACCAGGAACAACCACCAACACACAGTATAACATGTACAATCCACCAGGAACAACCACCAACACACAGTATAACATGTACAATCCACCAGGAACAACCACCAACACACAGTATAACATGCACACAACACCAGGAACAACCACCAACACACAGTATAACATGTACAATCCACCAGGAACAACCACCAACACACAGTATAACATGCACACAACACCAGGAACAACCACCAACACACAGTATAACATGTACAAGCCACCAGGAACAACCACCAACACACAGTATAACATGCACACAACACCAGGAACAACCACCAACAACCAGTATAACATGCACACGACACCAGGAACAACCACCAACACACAGTATAACATGTACAAGCCACCAGGAACAACCACCAACACACAGTATAACATGCACACAACACCAGGAACAACCACCAACACACAGTATAACATGTACACAACACCAGGAACATCCACCAACACACAGTATAACATGTACACAACACCAGGAACAACCAACAACACACAGTATAACATGTACACAACACCAGGAACATCCACCAACACACAGTATAACATGTACACAACACAAGGAACAACCACCAACACACAGTATAACATGTACACGCCACCAGGAACAACCACCAACACACAGTATAACATGTACACAACACCAGGAACAACCACCAACACAGTATAACATGTACACAACACCAGGAACAACCAACAACACACAGTATAACATGTACACAACACCAGGAACATCCACCAACACACAGTATAACATGTACACAACACAAGGAACAACCACCAACACACAGTATAACATGTACACGCCACCAGGAACAACCACCAACACACAGTATAACATGTACACAACACCAGGAACAACCACCAACACACAGTATAACATGTACACAACACCAGGAACAACCACCAACACACAGTATAACATGTACACAACACCAGGAACAACCACCAACACACAGTATAACATGTACACAACACCAGGAACAACCACCAACACACAGTATAACATGCACACAACACCAGGAACAACCACCAACACACAGTATAACATGTACACAACACCAGGAACAACCACCAACACACAGTATAACATGCACACAACACCAGGAACAACCACCAACACACAGTATAACATGCACACAACACCAGGAACAACCACCAACACACAGTATAACATGCACACAACACCAGGAACATCCACCAACACACAGTATAACATGTACACAACACCAGGAACAACCACCAACACACAGTATAACATGTACAAGCCACTAGGAACAACCACCAACACACAGTACAACATGTACACAACACCAGGAACAACCACCAACACACAGTATAACATGCACACAACACCAGGAACATCCACCAATACACAGTATAACATGTACACAACACCAGGAACAACCACCAACACACAGTATAACATGTACACGACACCAGGAACAACCACCAACACACAGTATAACATGTACACAACACCAGGAACAACCACAAACACACAGTATAACATGTACACAACACCAGGAACAACCACCAACACACAGTATAACATGCACGCAACACCAGGAACATCCACCAACACACAGTATAACATGTACACAACACCAGGAACAACCACCAACACACAGTATAACATGCACGCAACACCAGGAACAACCACCAACACACAGTATAACATGTACACAACACCAGGAACAACCACCAACACACAGTATAACATGCAAACAACACCAGGAACAACCACCAACACACAGTATAACATGTACACAACACCAGGAAAAACCACCAACACACAGTATAACATGTACACAACACCAGGAACAACCACCAACACACAGTATAACATGCAAACAACACCAGGAACAACCACCAACACACAGTATAACATGTACACAACACCTGGAACAACCACCAACACACAGTATAACATGTACACAACACCAGGAACATCCACCAACACATTATAACATGTACACAACACCAGGAACAACCACCAACACAGTATAACATGTACACGCCACCAGGAACATCCACCAACACAGTATAACATGTACACAACACCAGGAACAACCACCAACACAGTATAACATGTACACGCCACCAGGAACAACCACCAACACAGTATAACATGTACACGCCACCAGGAACAACCACCAACACACAGTATAACATGTACAAGCCACCAGGAACAACCACCAACACAGTATAACATGTACACAACACCTGGAACAACCACCAACACACAGTATAACATGTACACAACACCAGGAACATCCACCAACACACAGTATAACATGCAAACAACACCAGGAACAACCACCAACACACAGTATAACATGTACACAACACCAGGAACATCCACCAACACACAGTATAACATGTACACAACACCAGGAACATCCACCAACACACAGTATAACATGCACACAACACCAGGAACATCCACCAACACACAGTATAACATGTACAAGCCACCAGGAACAACCACCAACACAGTATAACATGTACACAACACCAGGAACAACCACCAACACACAGTATAACATGTACACAACACCAGGAACATCCACCAACACACAGTATAACATGTACAAGCCACCAGGAACAACCACCAACACACAGTATAACATGTACACAACACCAGGAACAACCACCAACACACAGTATAACATGTACACAACACCTGGAACAACCACCAACACACAGTATAACATGTACACAACACCAGGAACATCCACCAACACACAGTATAACATGCACACAACACCAGGAACATCCACCAACACACAGTATAACATGTACACGACACCAGGAACAACCACCAACACACAGTATAACATGTACACAACACCTGGAACAACCACCAACACACAGTATAACATGTACATGACACCAGGAACAACCACCAACACACAGTATAACATGTACACAACACCAGGAACAACCACCAACACACAGTATAACATGTACACAACACCAGGAACATCCACCAACACACAGTATAACATGTACACAACACCAGGAACAACCACCAACACACAGTATAACATGCACATGACACCAGGAACAACCACCAACACACAGTATAACATGTACACAACACCAGGAACAACCACCAACACACAGTATAACATGTACACAACACCAGGAACAACCACCAACACACAGTATAACATGTACACAACACCTGGAACAACCACCAACACACAGTATAACATGTACACAACACCAGGAACAACCACCAACACACAGTATAACATGTACACAACACCAGGAACAACCACCAACACACAGTATAACATGTACACAACACCAGGAACAACCACCAACACACAGTATAACATGTACACAACACCAGGAACAACCACCAACACACAGTATAACATGTACATGACACCAGGAACAACCACCAACACACAGTATAACATGCACGCAACACCAGGAACATCCACCAACACACAGTATAACATGTACACAACACCAGGAACAACCACCAACACACAGTATAACATGCACACAACACCAGGAACAACCACCAACACACAGTATAACATGTACACAACACCAGGAAAAACCACCAACACACAGTATAACATGTACACAACACCAGGAACAACCACCAACACACAGTATAACATGCACACAACACCAGGAAAAACCACCAACACACAGTATAACATGTACACGACACCAGGAACAACCACCAACACAGAGTATAACATGTACTCACCGCTTTCACCATTTCATAATGATATATGCATCTATTTCTGAAGTATGTATATAAATGACATTTTGAATATGGCCCCTAGAACAGGTTTAGATCTGTTACACAATACCCATCCGCCTGTGGAAGTTCTTGCTTATCATAAGTATATCAAGAATACATAAAATAGTGTCTCAGAAAATTATTGTCACTTGAAATTTATCTAGGTTCAGATGATAAGTAAAAGAATAACATTCCTGAAACATTTGCTCCTCAATCTCTGGTTTGTTAAGGAAGTCGTTTAATAAGTTACATATCGCCTACCATTAGCTTCAGCTTCATCCTGCTTTTCAAGATGGTCTTTGACGATGTAGAGTGCCACTCTAGTCTTGCCTGAACCGGTAGGGGCACAGATGATGGTGTTACGGCGTTTTACTGCATGCTCAGCCAACTCCAGCTGGTATAGGCGGAGATCAAGGTCTTGCTGACAAGTCACATCTCTCTCAGCCTCTGGAAAAAAACAGTTTATCATATAGGGGAGAGTCACCAATGCCATAACCCAATCTGTTAATCTGGCATGGTCTGATCTTATAATTATGCAAATGAGGTCAGCTAGAAGGAACTATTTCTGGCACACTCTACACACCAATGTGATGACTACATACTCAAAAGGGGCTGTCCCCAGTACCTCAAGCTTGTCACCTGTTGGGATTCCATGAAAGTATAGGTCCCCAGTACCCCAAGAATCTCTCAGTTGACATCACTCACTCACTCACTCACTCACTCACTCTTCTATGTGTTCCTACCTTCATCAGCCATCTCCCAGTCCTCATAGTCCTCCGGAAGAGAATCTCTCAGTTGTCATCACTCACTCACTCACTCACTCACTCACTCACTCACTCACTCACTCACTCACTGGATACAATGTTCTATGTGTTCCTACCTTCATCAGCCATCTCCGAGTCCTCATAGTCCTCGGAAGAGAATCTCTCAGTTGTCATCACTCACTCACTCACTCACTCACTCACTCACTCACTGGATACAATGTTCTATGTGTTCCTACCTTCATCAGCCATCTCCGAGTCCTCATAGTCCTCGGAAGAGAATCTCTCAGTTGTCATCACTCACTCACTCACTCACTCACTCACTCACTCACTGGGTACAATGTTCTATGTGTTCCTACCTTCATCAGCCATCTCCCAGTCCTCATAGTCCTCGGAAGAGAATCTCTCAGTTGTCATCACTCACTCACTCACTCACTCACTCACTCACTGGGTACAATGTTCTATGTGTTCCTACCTTCATCAGCCATCTCCCAGTCCTCATAGTCCTCGGAAGAGAATCTCTCAGTTGTCATCACTCACTCACTCACTCACTCACTCACTCACTGGGTACAATGTTCTATGTGTTCCTACCTTCATCAGACATCTCCCAGTCCTCATAGTCCTCCGGAAGAGAATCTCTCAGTTGACATCACTCACTCACTCACTCACTCACTCACTCACACACTGTTCTATGTGTTCCTACCTTCATCAGACATCTCAACGTCTTCATAGTCCTCGGGAAGAGACTCACTCGGCGGCATGTGCATGGACTCCTCCTGCATCTTAACACTGGGTAAAACCACTTCTGCAACAGACACTGTTTATAACTGTTTGAAACACAGAACTGGACCCTCAGCACCTCATACATATTGAGCTCACCCTTGGAGTGTCTCTCTTAAAAGTCACATGAAACATATTTGTCAATCTCAAGGAAACACTAATGTATTTGGGACTGAAAAGCTCTTATTTTTGCCTGCCAAATGAAAAATAGAGAGCAAGAATCCATCTGAATGGACATCTATTTCTGGAAACCAAGAAAATGGACATGACACATGTTACAAACTCTAGTATTCCATGAATATCGGAGCTAACCATGAATACCACATTGGTTGATAATATTAACTCTAATGTATGAAACATGTTGAAGTAATTTTGTCTTCTAGTAAGTTTTGCTGCAGTTTGCTCTTGACTACTTGTTAACATTGTCAACACTGTCTGTCCCAATGACTGTTGGTGTTCCTGAAAATGTATAAAAATGTAAAAGATTCTTCCTCCCTCATCCATGCCTTCCTCACACCCTCCCTTCCTGTCCCTCCTTTCCTCGGTCTCTCCATCTCCAGTCCCTCCATCCCTCCGTCTGTCCCTCCTTCCCTCTGTCTGTCTCTCCATCCCCAGTCCCTCCATCCCTCTGTCTGTCTCTCCATCCCCAGTCCCTCCATCCCTCTGTCTGTCTCTCCATCCCCAGTCCTCCATCCCTCTGTCTGTCTCTCCATCCCCAGTCCCTCCATCCCTCCGTCCGTCTCTCCATCCCTAATCCCTCCATCCCTCTGTCTGTCTCTCCATCCCCAGTCCCTCCATCCCTCCGTCTGTCTCTCCAGCCCCAGTCCCTCCATCCCTCTGTCTGTCTCTCCAGCCCCAGTCCCTCCATCCCTCCGTCTGTCTCTCCATCCCCAGTCCCTCCATCCCTCCGTCCGTCTCTCCATTCCTAATCCCTCCATCCCTCTGTCTGTCTCTCCATCCCCAGTCCCTCCATCCCTCCGTCTGTCTCTCCAGCCCCAGTCCCTCCATCCCTCTGTCTGTCTCTCCATCCCCAGTCTCTCCATCCCTCCGTCCGTCTCTCCATCCCTAATCCCTCCATCCCTCTGTCTGTCTCTCCATCCCCAGTCCCTCCATCCCTCCGTCTGTCTCTCCAGCCCCAGTCCCTCCATCCCTCTGTCTGTCTCTCCATCCCCAGTCCCTCCATCCCTCTGTCTGTCTCTCCAGCCCCAGTCCCTCCATCCCTCCGTCTGTCTCTCCAGCCCCAGTCCCTCCATCCCTCTGTCTGTCTCTCCATCCCCAGTCCCTCCATCCCTCTGTCCGTCTCTCCAGCCCCAGTCCCTCCATCCCTCTGTCTGTCTCTCCATCCCCAGTCCCTCCATTTCTTCCGTCTGTCTCTCCATCCCCAGTCCCTCCATCCCTCCGTCTCTCCATCCCCAGTCCCTCCATTTCTTCCGTCTCTGTCTCTCCATCCCCAGTCCCTCCATCCCTCCATCTCTCTGTCTCTCCATCCCCAGTCCCTCCATTTCTTCCGTCCCTGTCTCTCCATCCCTCTGTCTGTCTCTCCATCCCCAGTCCCTCCATCCCTCTGTCTGTCTCTCCATCCCCAGTCCCTCCATCCCTCTGTCTGTCTCTCCATCCCCAGTCCCTCCATCCCTCCGCCTGTCCCTCCTTCCCCAGTCCCTCCATCCCTCTGTCTGTCTCTCCAGCCCCAGTCCCTCCATCCCTCTGTCTGTCTCTCCATCCCCAGTCCCTCCATTTCTTCCGTCTCTGTCTCTCCATCCCCAGTCCCTCCATCCCTCCGTCTCTCCATCCCCAGTCCCTCCATTTCTTCCGTCCCTGTCTCTCCATCCCCAGTCCCTCCATCTCTCCGTCTCTGTCTCTCAATCCCCAGTCCCTCCATTTCTTCCGTCTGTCTCTCAATCCCCAGTCCCTCCATCCCTCCGCCTGTCCCTCCTTCCCCAGTCCCTCCATCCCTCTGTCTGTCTCTCCAGCCCCAGTCCCTCCATCCCTCTGTCTGTCTCTCCATCCCCAGTCCCTCCATTTCTTCCGTCTCTGTCTCTCCATCCCCAGTCCCTCCATCCCTCCGTCTCTCCATCCCCAGTCCCTCCATTTCTTCCGTCCCTGTCTCTCCATCCCCAGTCCCTCCATCCCTCCGTCTCTGTCTCTCAATCCCCAGTCCCTCCATTTCTTCCGTCTGTCTCTCAATCCCTCTGTCTGTCTCTCCATCCTTATGTCGCTACATCCCTCTGTCTCTGTCTCTCCATCATCAGCCCCTACATCCCTTGGTCCATGGTCAGGGCATAATATAAGGGTAACACTATTTTCATTTGCAGAAGCCCGAGGCCTTCCATTAACTGCCCGACAAGGAGGGCAGTTGAAAAGACTGAGGGCTTCTGCAAATGATAATGCCCAGAAAAATAGCGTTACCGTTATTATAGCTAAAATGGATGGAATTTTTTATCAAATAAAAAGAAACAACAATATCGTGTTTGAAACATTTACTGCAATCAACACGAATGTCACTGACCCACTTTTACAAATATAGAAAGGTCATAGAACAAACCAGATGACGTCACTATTGAACGTGATGTCACCGATTCTATCCTATGACGTCACCTAACAACGGGCGTGATAATGGCCCGTCGTCAAGTAATATGAGGGCATTATCAAGTTACAGTGGCCCGCTCATTTCTGATAACATGTGGGCGCTTTAATGATAATTCTATCCATTTTAGCTATAATGACATGATAGTAATGCCAGGGCATGATGATATGATGACATGATAGTGCTGCCAGGGCTTGGTGATATGATGACATGATAGTGCTGCCAGGGCTTGATGATATGATGACATGATAGTGCTGCCAGGGCATGATGATATGATGACATGATAGTGCTGCCAGGGCATGATGATATGATGACATGATGGTGCTGCCAGGGCTTGATGATATGATGACATGATAGTGCTGCCAGGGCTTGATGATATGATGACATGATAGTGCTGCCAGGGCATGATGACTTGATAGTGCTGCCAGGGCATGATGACTTGATAGTGCTGCCAGGGCATGATGATATGATGACATGATGGTGCTACCAGGGCTTGATGATATGATGACATGATAGTGCTGCCAGGGCATAATGATATGATGACATGATAGTGCTGCCAGGGCATAATGATATGATGACATGATAGTGCTGCCAGGGCATGATGATATGATAGTGCTGCCAGGGCATGATGACTTGATAGTGCTGCCAGGGCATGATGATATGATGACTTGATAGTGCTGCCAGGGCATGATGATATGATGACATGATAGTGCTGCCAGGGCATGATGACATGATAGTGCTGCCAGGGCTTGAAAATATGATGACATGATAGTGCTGCCAGGGCATGATGACATGATAGTGCTGCCAGGGCATGATGACTTGATAGTGCTGCCAGGGCATGATGATATGATGACATGATAGTGCTGCCAGGGCTTGATGATATGATGACATGATAGTGCCACCAGGGCATGATGATATGATGACATGATAGTGCTGCCAGGGCATGATGACTTGATAGTGCTGCCAGGGCATGATGATATGATGACATGATAGTGCTGCCAGGGCATGATGATATGATGACATGATAGTGCTGCCAGGGCTTGATGATATGATGACTTGATAGTGCTGCCAGGGCATGATGATATGATGACATGATAGTGCTGCCAGGGCTTGATGATATGATGACATGATAGTGCCACCAGGGCATGATGATATGATGACATGATAGTGCTGCCAGGGCATGATGATATGATGACATGATAGTGCTGCCAGGGCTTGATGATATGATGACTTGATAGTGCTGCCAGGGCATGATGATATGATGACATGATAGTGCTGCCAGGGCTTGATGATATGATGACATGATAGTGCCGCCAGGGCATGATGATATGATGACATGATAGTGCTGCCAGGGCTTGATGATATGATGGCGTGATAGTGCTGCCAGGGCATGATGATATGATGACTTGATAGTGCTGCTAGGGCTTGATGACATGATGACTTGATAGTGCTGCCAGGGCATGATGACATGATGACATGAAGGTGCTGCCAGGGCTTGATGATATGATGACATGATAGTGGGGCCAGGGCATGATGACATGATGACATGAAGGTGCTGCCAGGGCATGATGATATGATGACATGATCATGATAGTGGGGCCAGGGCATGGTGACATGATGACATGATAGTGCTGCCAGGGCATGATGAAAAGATGACATGATAGTGGGGCCAGGGCATGATGACTTGATGGCACGATAGTGGGGCCAGGGCATGATGACATGATGACATGATATTGGGGCCAGGGCATGATGACATGATGACATGATATTCGGGCCAGGGCATGATGACGTGATAGTGGGGCCAGGGCATGATGATATGAAAGTGCTGCCAGGGCATGATGACATGATGACACAATAAAATGAAAGTGGGACCAGGGCATGATGACATGATGACACAATAAAATGAAAGTGGGGCCAGGGCATGATGACATGATGACATGATATTCGGGCCAGGGCATGATGACATGAAAGTGCTGCCAGGGCATGATGACATGATGACACAATAAAATGATAGTGCGGCCAGGGCATGATGACATGATAGTGTTGCCAGGGCTTGATGACATGATGACACAATAAAATGATAGTGCAGCCAGGGCATGATGACATAGTAGTGTTGCCAGGGCATGATGACATGATGACACAATAAAATGATAGTGTGGCCAGGGCATGATGCCATGATAGTGTTGCAAGTGCTTGATGACATGATGACACAATAAAATGATAGTTGGGCCAGGGCATGATGACATGAAAACATGATAGTGTTGGCAGGGCATGATGACATGATAGTGTTGCAAGAGCTTGATGACATGATGACACAATAAAATGATAGTGCGGCCAGAGCATGATGACATGATAGTGTTGCCAGGGCATGATGACATGATACTGCGGCCAGGGCATGATGACATGATAGTGTTGCCAGGGAATGATGACATGATGACACAATAAAATGATAGTGCGGCCAGGGCATGATGACATGATAGTGTTGCCAGGGCATGATGACACGAAATGGCTGCCAGGGCATGATGACACGATGACATGATAGTGGGGCCAGGGCATGATGACATGATAGTGTTGCCAGGGCATGATGACATGATGACACAATAAAATGATAGTGCGGCCAGGGCATGATGACATGATGACATGATAGTGTTGCCAGGGCATGATGACATAAAGGGGTGCCAGGGCATGATGACACGATGACATGAAGGTGCTGCCAGGGCATGATGACACGATGACATGAAGGTGCTGCCAGGGCATGATGACATGATGACATGAAAGGGCTGCATGGGCTTGATGACATGATGACATGAAGGTGCTGCCAGGGCTTGATGACATGATGACATGAAGGTGCTGCCAGGGCATAATGACACGATGACACGATGACATGATAGTGCTGCCAGGGCATGATGACATGATGACATGATAGTGCTGCCAGGGCTTGATGACATGATGACATGAAGGTGCTGCATGGGCTTGATGACATGATGACACAATAAAATGATAGTGCAACCAGGGCATGATGACATGATGACATGAAAGGGCTGCCAGGGCATGATGACATGATGACACAATAAAATGATAGTGGAGCCAGAGCATGATGACATGATGACACGATGACATGATAGTGCTGCCAGGGCATGATGACATGAAAGGGCTGCCAGGGCATGATGACATGATGACATGATGACATGATAGTGGGGCAAGGGCATGATGACATGATGACATGATACTGGGGCCAGGGCATGATGACATGAAAGGGCTGCCAGGGCATGATGACACGATGACACAAAAAAATGATAGTTGAGCCAGAGCATGATGACATGATGACACGATGACATGATAGTGCTGCCAGGGCATGATGACATGAAAGGGCTGCCAGGGCATGATGACATGATGACACAATAAAATGATAGTGGAGCCAGAGCATGATGACATGATGACACGATGACATGATAGTGCTGCCAGGGCATGATGACATGAAAGGGCTGCCAGGGCATGATGACATGATGACATGATATTGGGGCCAGGGCATGATGACATGATGACATGATAGTGGGGCCAGGGCATGATGACATGATGACACGATGTCATGATAGTGGGGGCAGGGCATGATGACATGAAAGTGCTGCCAGGACATGATGGCATGATGACATGATCTACTGCTCACCAAAATTCAACAAGAAATGCATAAATAATCAGCCAAAATGATGTTTACAATAAGCCAGGGGTGACTGCCACATTGTAAATGAGTTCAAAATTTTTTGCGCATTTGTCAGAGACACCATTGCTGGGGTCATCAACATGGCCTTTAGAGTTGCTGTCACAAATGTACATATACAACAGATAACACACTATGACATATTCTCACGTAACCCACCTGTTCAGTTGAGCTACACAGATTGACCCAACTGATAAACATGTTTATCATACTTTCATGTCAGAATAATTAAGTTTTGTTGTGTTCATTGAAATTCCTGTGATCTGATTAGATGAATTGGTCACGTGTTATTGCATTCATTTCCCAATGAATGTCACTCTCCTACCCAGAGTTCCATGCGGCCGGCAGCCAGCTAGCATAGTACCTCTGCCACAGCCCAGCGCCATGTGACGATTCGTCACATCTTTCACAGTCCATTCAAGATATTGCATATGCTTTTCGTCCGTTTCATGTTTGACAAGTCTACACATTTTCATAAACAAATGTCAAAGAATGGTTAACTTTCATTGAGAAAGTATGCAAATACGTAAAAATCTACTTGTTTTTGCGTAGTTATCCTATGTTGACATTGGTTGTACGGCTCCACGTGCTTTCATCGAAGCCCAACGGAGAGCTAGCGACGCGGTCACTTTGATGCATAAATATATATTGTCATGCAACTAACTGTCGTAGTTGTAGTAGCATATGTATATAGTTATGCAAAACAATATGTAAAGCGCCCCCAAATACTTGCATTAGTCCGTTCTATACTGATTTCTGAAAAAGCGCGTTTGTTTACAAACAAGAGAAAACTCCGGTCACGTGATATGCAAATTAGCCTGTGGCAGTGGTGTTATGCTGAGTCACCACTGCGACGGAGTGTGAGTTCATTTTTCTCATCTAATGGGGATATAATATGAACACATGTGTTGCGTAAAATGTTTCTGAAGAGCAAGTTCTGCATCCATTCGCTCATGTCACCTTTCTTTTGGGGGAACTATTTTATTCCGCGATATAGCTGGTTGTTGTTTGGCTGTCAGTGTAAACATGAAGTCACACGTACTAAATAAAATTGTGTTTAGATCTTTGCCTACATCCTTTGAGGTAAGAAATTGTGATAAAAAATTATAAGAATTGACTTTCACTTTGTGTGAGTTCATTGGATTATAAACCTTCATAAAGTGAGGGCCAAACATTGTATGAACGTCGTCGCAAGCTCTGGGTAAGGAGAGTGAACGTCAAATTGTCTCCTCCAATGCAAAAGCCGTATATCGTGTAAACGTCAAATTAAAAAAATATTCAATTTTTAATTTGTTTGAATTATTTCACAATAGCTGATTAAAACATGTCAGTAAGATAAATTCATTTGTAGCAGCATCACTCGGGGTACATGTGGTTTTATCCATCCATTGCTAGGTTTCATGCCACGAGCCGCAGGTGAGTGGTATAAAACCGAATGCGGGACACATAAAACCCCATGTCTATATAATTTCTGATATTCTGAACATAGAGGCCTGACCTGTTAAAACTTGATCACTTGATGGACTGCCAGCAAACAATAGCTACCTTGATCAGTGCGTCGTGTGATGATCAGTGGCTTGTATGGACCTGTCTTGAAATGGAATGCAACAGGATATTGTCAGAGCTAGTATCTACAATAATGTTGTACAACAGATATGTATAATCAATAGTATTTGCTTCCTGTAATCCAGTACAGCTTCTATTTCTAGGAAATAACCTACTTCCACTTTCTGTTTGCGTTTGTAGTTTTCGTTTGTAAAATTTACCTTATTAGAGTTGTTTGAGTGTATATGTATCTTGTGAGAATGCCCAGTACCAAGACGAAAGCGAACTATTGAAATGAATGCACTATTTCTGTCAATTTGTGTTGTTTGGTTTGTACGAATGCATCTAAGGTCACTTGTTCATCTTAGCAATTATTATCTACCAGTGTTTGTCACTGGAATATGTCATAATTCAATACCACTTTCATTTTAGCACACAAACATCGACTAGACACTCCTGGTTGAAGCATTCTGCCCTCATTCGGCAGACAGAATACATGCATGACAGATAATCAATCAATCGATAACCTAGCATGTTCTGTTACATAATGGGCACATTGTGTTGGTACCGCAGTGTTTTTTGCCTTTCACTTCCTGGTTCGGCTTATCTGCGGGTCCGAATATCGTATACACTTTGGTCGCCGGTCTCAACCACCAAGCTTTGTATGCAGATACTGTGTCATGGGGCATACCAGACGAAAGGTTATCCAATCATCTTGCCACCCCATTAAACCGGTTGTACATTCCGATTTCCGTTTTGACCACACGTTCAGTCGAAGGAGGCTAATAACGATCACTTAAATTCGTACAGTGTGACTGTAATATCGTACGCAATTTCTTCTAATATCGTACATGTATTTTAATTCCGTACAGCACCTGAACGGTACTCCCGTAGCTGTTATTTCTTATGAAAATTTGTATATATTGGTTGAATCAAAATTCGAATTATCGCAGGAAAGGAAATGCTTAGGTTCAAAAACTATATTAATATGTAGATCTATATCCCAGTATTATTAATCATTAGTAGAATTTATTAATTTATTAATAAACTCCAGGGCCTGCTTAGAGTACTGGCGTCTTTTTCCCATCTACAATATTAAGCACAAAACTAACTTTATAAATTTTAATACTGCCCCGTTTGAATCAAAACAGAACGAACAAGTTGGAGCATTGATGAAGTCCATTTTTTTCGAAATATTCGAGAACACGTCTTGCCAAAAATGTGGCAGACACGGGGTCGTTAATTTTTTTCCGATATGCCATGCAGAACACGACAAACAACGTTTGCCACTGCAGACCCTCATTTGGGATGATCTAAGGATTTCTGTAGCAAACCAATTATTATTTCCGCTTCATTTTCAAAATAAACATCATCCAGAGTTAGGGTGTTTATAGTTGAACGTGCGACCGCGATCACTATTTCACATCCGCTTCCAAATATTTCACGGCGCTGAACGGATTTTGAAAGTGCCATTTTCTGTAAAGTTGACAGAAAACGTATAAACAGCTGAATAATTGTAATTAAGACAGACATATCTTTGTATTGGGTTAAAACGTATTCCTAATGTTTTATTAGCTACAGTATGAATAATACAGTTGTACCTCGCTGATACCGATTGTTTTACCGATTTTGCTCATCAGTTATCAATACTTACACAGTCAACACTTATTAGATAGAGTTTTGGTGTTGACTAGAAATTTTCTACATGTTTCTTTAGTCGTTAGGCCATCTATATTATTTTATGCGTTTGTCATCTCCAACCTCAACCAACAAGGAAGCGGGCGGGCGAAATTTAAAAAATAAATAAATCCTTTTCACTAATTTTTAACATATTCTACCTTGGTACCAGTCTTCAAATTAATTTTGGACGTATTTAGAGGTGGGTTTTTTCGGAAACAACTTTTTAATACACGTAGTTGAAGAAAGATCTAGGCATTTTATGAATGTGCAATGATGGTGGTACTTTTGTTATTACGTCGGGGCAAAATTAATACAGACAGCCTGACAATGTTTGTGGTATCTTTTTGTAATAAATCTTAAACCATCTTTAAGGCTGCGTAGTAATGTGACACTGGACGCGTGATAAAAGATAAACAATGTTTTCGGATAGATCTAAATGAAAACAGGGATAAGGTGTGCTGATGTCTGTTACTTAATATTTCATATAAATAAGATTATGACAGTGAGCGACTACTTCAAAATGGACTTCAACAATGACCATACACTAAGGTGACAATATATATATTCTTTTTGTCATTTTAATTTGTTTATCAATGCTTATTCAAGTGTTTCATAAGAGGGTATATCAAATGGAAAATTGAAAATTTCACTGTACGAAATTAGAAGCATAGCAAAATATTATAATAATTTGGGCATCAAATATCGTACGTCCCACATTTTGTTAATTTTGAAAATAACTTTTATGAAACCTATTAATAATTTTCAATATGAAATGTTTATGGCAGCTGATATGCATTATTTCGTGTTTCCGTACCGTTCGTGCTTTTTAAATTTACCGCAATGACCTGTCACATGTAGAGGTTCTCGAATCGTGACCTTGACGTCAACCCAGCAAGAAATGGAGAGAACCGCTTCTGCGCAAGTGCACTTCGCGATAACCAATCATATCTCGTAAGAGAAAACGCATGACAAATACACGTGATAGCTGAATATAGAGTTGGGGATTACCACATTTCAACCAACGAAAGTAGTTTGACGCCGCATGAAAGCATTGAAAGCAATCAAGGAAACATCAAAGTGTACGGAACTTAGGAGCCTGTACGATATTCGGAGACCTGACTCTAATTTTCTTTCGTATGTCAATGGTCAATTTAAACACCTCGGCTTATCTACGGGGTCGGCTTATCCGCGGTCATATACGGTATGAAAGAAGTCTAGCTATGCTCTGGAAAACATTGAAGGAGGTTTGTTGTTGTTGCATTAGGTGTTTAAGAGGTCGCCTTCTGCCTAGGCAATTTCGGCTGACCTGTCCCTCTTTGGGACTCCTGTGTGTGAGAAGGGTTCACATATCTATTGTGAGTTCGGTGTTCACATAATTTCTGTTTTTGCATTGATATGATTTCTATTTTCTTATATTGATATGATTTCATTTTTATCCTTGGCTGCTCTGTTTATATACGTTCGAGCAGCTGTCCATCTCTCAGAAATAGAGTTAGTTTGGCCTTCGCTATTGCATCTCTTGGCTTTAGGAGATCTATGACAGATAGCGGATCTAACTGCAATTCTTGTTTTAACCTAGCCCGGGCCGGGGCATGGTCTTGACATTCTAGTAACAGGTGGTCAATGGTTTCAGCCTGATTGCAAGATGAACAAACCTTGTCATAGTGCTTTTTGTGACCAAGTCTGAGGCGTGAGATAGCAGTTTCAATTTTCCTTTCATTTGAGTATGAGTTTGGCTTTTGTTGGACCTTGGGTTGAATTTTGTATAGCCATCTGCCGATCTTACTTGCGTCCCATTGGGTTTGCCATCTTTTTGCTATGGAGGCTTTGATTTTGCTTTTTATCTCTAGTTTACTAAAGGGAATAGGCTGTATATCCGCTTTGTCTAGAGCTAGCTTCGCCAGTGAGTCTGCTTTTTCATTTCCATGAATATCTATGTGAGAGGGGATCCAACACAGCTCCACCTGTTGCCCTTGGTCCGATAGTTTTGTATATTCGTATAGAATATTGTTGACTGTGTTTGGCCTGGAGTTTGAGTTTCTTCCACTGATGGCCTGAAGTGCACTTAGCGAGTCTGATAGGACGACTGCCTTTGCTTCCGGGAGTTCCGGTATGAGTTTGAGTGCATGATGAATTGCCTCCAATTCAGCCGTGAATACTGACTGACCATCGGGCAAGCGAACTGAATGTGCTTGGGGTTTGGAGCTGTGGATATGGATCCCGTAACCAGCACTGTTGTTGATAGGATTCTTGGATCCATCAGTGTATATATGGGCCCAGCTGTCCCAGGTAGTTTGAATTTTAGTGATAGCTACTGAACGTAGTAGGGTTGGGTTTTCTCTTTTAGTGACTTCTGATGTTAAAGCAGTGTCAACTTTGGGAGTTTGTAAAGTCCAGGGAGGGTGTAACCCTTTGTAGTGACTTTCTGGAGGCTGAATGTCATCGCAATTGTGACTTTGAATGAGTTCACGTACTAATATCCCAGATGGCTTTAGTGAGGGATTTTTTCGAGCTAGGGCCTCATCTCGAGCGTTTTTGTCTTGCCATATCTTTTTAACCAAAGGGTTTGATGTTCGTCCCCAGAACGATAATATTGCCTGCTCTCGTCTTAGTTTCAATGGGAGTTCTCCCGTTTCTACTTGTAGTGCTTCTAGTGAGGTGCCTGTCGCTGCGCCTGTGGCCAGTATTAGGGCTTTGTATTGTATTCTGTCTAGTCGCCTCAAGACAGTATTTGATGCTGAGTGAAAAGCCTCACAACCATAGTCAATTTTTGATCTGATAAGAGCTTTGTAGAGGTCCAGCTGAGTGTCCCTCGATGTGCCCCAAGATGTGCCTGAAATTGCCCGTAATACGTTCAGGTCTTTTTGACATCTGTTTTCCACATATTCGATATGCTTGCGCCAAGTGAGGTGTTGATCAAGGATAACTCCAAGAAATATTGCAGATTTTTCGAATTTGATAGGTTTGCCTTTTATGGAGACACGGGGTATCATAGCATCTTTCCCCCGGCGTTTGAATAGAACTCCAACAGTTTTTTCACTTGAAAGGGTGAATCCCCATTTATTGCACCATTGATCTACTCCGTCCAGGGCTGACTGGAGTTTTTTTCTGATTTGTGAGATATCTCTGTGCTTTACCCATATTGCTCCGTCATCAGCGAACTTAGAAGTTTGGGTAGGAGAGTTGACATGGTCAAAAAGATCATTGATCATGATATTAAACAGGGTTGGGCTTATAATGCTGCCTTGTGGCGTGCCATTGTCCAGTGCCATAGGATCCGATCGATTGTTCCCTATTTTAACTGAAAGCGACCTGTCTTGCAGGAAGCTGTCTATGAAGTTTGCCATGTTCCCTTCAACTCCATTTTGTGATAGTTTTGAGAGGAGTCCGTCATGCCATACCATGTCGAAGGCTTTGCTGAAGTCCAGAAATACTGCGGCTAGGTATTGTCTGTTTAATTGGGCT